CTGCCAATCTCCTCTCCATTAGGGTTCGGGAATGCACATATTTGCCTAGTGTGAATATTTTGTCAATCATTGGGTTTGGAAAATATCTGTTTTCAACAAAGTTCTCTGAATTAAAATATGTCCGCCTTGTGTGTGTGTGTGTATAGTGGTTGTGACGTCAACAGCACGAGACAGCCAGGCCCTAACGGAGAAGGAGATGAAGAAGCACGAGATGGACAAACACCCCTCCACCTGGCCAGCAGCTGGGGGCTGGAGGAAGTGGTGCAGTGCCTTCTAGAGTTTGGAGCCAATGTTAATGCACAGGTCAGTCCTGTCACATCAGGGGTCCAATTTCTCCCTGTTTCACTACCAAAGAGATTACTTAGGAAATTGTAAACGCATTCTCTTGAATTGAATCTGTTCTCCTTCTATTTCTGTCAGGATGCAGAGGGCAGGGCTCCCATCCATGCTGCCATTAGCAACCAGCACAACGTCATTATACAGCTCCTCATTTCCCATCCGGACATTCGTCTCAACGTGCGCGACCGTCAAGGAATGACCCCCTTCGCCTGTGCCATGACGCACAAGAACAACAAAGCAGCAGAGGCTATTCTCAAGAGGGAGCCGGGGGCTGCTGAGCAGGTAGCACGCACATGCTAAATGTACCACTGTAGCACTTCTACAGATTATAGGGCCTGTGTCCTTTTTCTGAGGGCCAGCTTCTTTTTTTCAATTGTTCCCTCTAGAAAAAGCAATGCAGCCAGCGTCTTTTTTCTGAGCACACAGAGGTTATTGTGCCGTCCCCAGCACTTCTAATTTGTTTTTGGCTTTATCTTTCAAAAAGAAACTGTCATAACAGAGACTGAAAAGCTCTTTTCTTTGAGCCATTCGGCTGGGCGGACACTGAATGATTCTGCTGAGTTTTGTACTTTTATCGCCCATAAGTGGTTCATCCTTCTCGCTCCACGTTCATCCAAAGGGTGAGAGCAGGAATCTTCTGGTTGGAGCTCGTGTTGATAAACTCAAAAAGTATATAGTAGCTCAAACGGATAATAAAAAAGAAAGGGCATGTGTGTCATACAAAAGCAGTGAAATATTTTCAAGATATTGTTGTAATATAAAGTGCTTCGAGCTCCTTTTCAAGAAATGCTGGCTTTTCTGCTAGAGAAAGACACCAAGTGGACGCAGGGCCATACAATATTCTTCTTTCCTGACCTCAAACTTCTGTTTATAACCAGGTGGACAACAAGGGACGTAACTTCCTCCACGTGGCTGTGCAAAACTCTGACATCGAGAGTGTCCTGTTCCTCATTAGCGTCCAAGCTAACGTCAACTCCAGGGTTCAGGACGCAGCCAAGCAAACCCCCCTGCACCTGGCCGTCCATGCTGGATCTGAGATCATTGTCCGCAACCTGGTACACACCTAACCATCTCATGGTCCCCAACATGTTACCATTCATGCCAATTTAAGTGTATGGTGCTCTAAGTATTGTTTTCATTGTGCATCTTTCTTCTCTCCAGCTGCTTGCGGGAGCCAAAGTAAACGAGCTGACCAAACACAGACAGACAGCGCTGCACCTGGCCGCCCAGCAGGACCTGGCCACCATCTGCTCCGTGCTGCTGGAGAACGGAGTAGACTTTGCTGCTGAGGATGAGAATGGCAATAACGGTACCTTACATTTGTATTTATTATGCTTCTGTTTCTTTGTAGTCTGGGAACATTCTATTTGATGTTTGCATCCATTTGGCAATCAAATTGATTCATCTAAACAAGAAATGTATACTGATTGTGCTAGTGGGATTTTTGTGTTCTCCATTTGTAACCAGATAGTGTTGGTTTAGGCAGTTAGAGGTGTCATTTCATATTGTGTACTGGGCGTGTAATGGCTATGATGTCTAAGAAGAATTCTATTATAAAGCCACAACTGAAAGTGGGTGGCAACAGATATCAATATTGAGAATACTAATCGATTTAGGTGACAATCTATGTTTCGATCTCTGAATTGCCTTTTTTCAGTCCTCTGCAAAACTCTTATATATAATATTTGATCATTTTCTTTGTCCTTTTTGTTGTCTCCCCAGCTCTGCATCTGGCTGTGATGCAGGGCCGCCTTAACAATGTCAGAAGCCTTCTCACAGAGTCCAACATTGATGCTGAGGCCTTCAATCTCAGGTACACTTTCACAGTAAAAGAATGTGATCAAACTTTGAAGTCATTGCAGCAGCATATTTAACACCACGGTGCTGAAATAAAACAGAAACTTAGAATATTAAGAAAACAGGAAGTGTAACATTTTGAAACACAACATATAACCTTCTGTAGACTAAGATGTCAACTTCTCCGTTTGTTTTCAATCTTATAATCTCTGTTTAGGGGTCAGTCACCAATGCACGTACTAGGCCACTATGGGAAAGAGAATGCCGCTGCCATTTTTGAGTTGTTCCTGGAGTGTATGCCTGAATACCCTCTGGACAAACCCGACAATGAAGGCAACACAGGTACTGTAGCTTGTTTGATTATTGTTAAGAGTACACAAACGGCATACTATTACCAGTGTTCCACTTGTGATAGAATGACTGACCTGTATTGTATTGCAGTGCTGCTTCTTGCCTACGTGAAAGGAAATGCAAACCTGTGCCGTGCCATTGTGAGGGCTGGGGCTCGCCTGGGCATCAATAATAATCAGGGAATCAACATTTTCAACTACCAAGTTGCAACAAAACAGTTGCTCTTCCGCCTTCTAGGTACGTTTTTTTGTGTTCATTTTTGTATTTTGTGCCTCTACTGTGACATGTTAACATGCTTTAATGTTCAACAAATGCTTAATTCACATTTAACAAACTGCCTGTGCTGCAACACCGCTTTTCACCCTCTGTCTGAAAACCAGAGACCAGTCTGCTCTGATTGGTTAGCCAGCGGGGTCAGTTGTGATTATTCAATGGCGTAGTGATGTCCCGCCCCTTTGCATATCACCTACAATGTGTTGGAACTCCAGCCAATAGAAGTGCTAGTGTTTCATAGTGATGTCAATATGTTACAGAAGTAAACAAAGGACAGCAATGGAGGCGTTTCAGGGGGGGGGGGGGGAGAGAAACTTCCTGTGGAGGGAACACTGGGATATTAGCCTTTGCTGACCATTCACAAAAACCTATATAACACACTACAGGAAAGGGGAAACACAAAATAGCCTAATGGGAGACTTTAAAACAACACTACTTTAACTGATATGCTCTGATGCAATGTATTTGATCCCTGTGACAATTTCTTGTTTTTGTTTAGATATGCTGTCCAAAGAGCCCCCTTGGTGTGATGGGTCCAATTGCTATGAATGTCTCGCCAAGTTTGGTGTTACAACACGGAAACATCACTGGTGAGTAGACTGGATTTTTGAATATGTGCAATCAATACTCCTCTTTTCCTCTTTATAATCCTGTGTCTCCTCCTTTGACTCCAGCCGCCACTGTGGGCGCCTGTTGTGCCACAAGTGCTCTATAAAGGAGATCCCCATCATCAAGTTTGACCTGAACAAGCCGGTGAGGGTGTGTGACATCTGCTTCGATGTACTAACTCTGGGTGGGGTAACGTCGTAATACAGTGGCCTGGATATCCTCCACCCTCTGACGCTGGCCATGCCTTGGCACAGTTATTCAGGCACACCAGGAGAAGGGACGTCGGTAGCAGAACAAACCAACAAGAGACCCTGGGACAATTATGGACCATCTTCTTTATACTATACCAATCTATGAAAAAACTATTATTGTTCTAGAGGGACCTTTCATATAGAAAGTGAAGCATTGTCATTTTGTTTCCGTTTTGATCAAAGCATTTTAAAGTGGATATAAGCCACTCTCCAGCCCGATGATGGTTGTTTGTTAATCAGTTTCCCTGACCCAATGATGTTTGTAATGATTGGCTCTTATTATCACAACAAAGACATTTCATTTCAATGAACATTCAAATCAAACATCTTTTTGGAGGGATTTGTCCTGTTCTCTAATGGGATATTCCACCATCAGCAGCCTTTTATGTGAGCTGCCCAAAGGCAAACATGCAATGCTACAAAATGAATACCTACAAGAGCAAGGTTTAAATCTCTATATCTCCAAATACTACACCATCAGCATGTTCTGTTCTCTTTCATTTTTCATTCTTCTGAGACTCTAATTCTGTATTAACTGGAACAATTTGGGATGTAAAGGGAAAGCACCTCTACTGATTTTATTAAGCTAGCATTATAACATTCAATTACTTTATTGTCTAATGAAAGATGGCACAACTAGAAAATAATAAAATGCATTATGAAATGTTTATTTTCTCCACGATTGGTAGAGTCTATCATGTGTGGGCATCAGCTCAATTAAATGGAATGCTTAATTTTGAACATGGCAAGCTGCGAAAATGTGAACTTTTATATCAAAAGATATAAATGTGAGTCCCAAAAAAAATCTTTCAACATTCCTCCTGTTACTGAAATGCCTGTCATCCCTAAGTGTGTCATTTTGATTTGTAGCCTTAAATCATGTTTTCAAAATCAGTCACCTATAATTACATTCCATTTTTTATCTGCCATGAGGTCCTCATAGGAAGTTGTGAGCATCGAACCCACAATGTGGCCTCAAGTCAAGTCGTCTTAACCCACCACATTTAACGCTTCTTGATTTCTAAGCCTATCAGGTGCACTTTATCAAGATCACATGAGATTTTCGATCATTGGGGAGTATGTGGAGCAGAGGGATGTGGCCAAGGAGTGGGGCCTCTTTAAGTATTGTTAAATTGTACAGATAAATGTGTGATATTTTTGACCACTACAACTGTTTTGTACTTAAATGCAGTTTGTGCTTGTCATTGTGACAAACCTAAATCTTGCCTCTGTTAATCTTTTATGCACATTGTTTAATCTTTTATGCACATTATATTGTATCTGTATGCTCAGATATCTAGCCTGTTTCTTCCTGGTGTATCCTTTTAGAGAAAGGGAGGACAACTTTACATAAAGGTCATCAAAAAACAACGCGTTGACTTATTTTCTTCATTTTATTTTCAATAAGTTAAAAGTCCCTGAGTATTGTGCAACTAATAAACAAGAAATTGGTCAATTTTCTAGGCTGGTCCAGACACTAGAACTCTGCCACAGAGCATGACTCAGCCTGTGGAGGGCAGCCATCATATTTCTGCAGGTTGGGGTCTTCCTCTGCTGTAGATGGATCTCTGACACAGACACAACGAACACCACTGGAGCCCGGAGAGAAGAGCTTCCGTGGGACACCTGTCCAAACCCTGTCCACTCCACCACTGGAGGAAAAAAATAGAGCAGTATTGAAACTGAGGATACAAATATATCCCTCTTTTAATTGTTCCACACATATACATGTACGTGTGAAAGTTAGCCTATGCGTTTAACCCATTTTAGCAAGAGTAGTGGGCAACTATTATACAGTGACAAGTGAGCACTGCTGGTGCCTTGCTCAAGGGCACCTCAGCAGTGACCAGGAGGCAAACTGGCAACTCTCAAAGTACCGGTCCACTCTCGGTACCTGGTCCTTTCTTGAATCAGCATCAAGTCCCTACAGACTACTGCCCAGTGCTGTTAATGTATACCAATATTTTGCATTTAAGTATGAGGTTCTTTACAGTAAGGTAAGCGCTTTATCACAACATTGTGGTGCATACACTGTCTGCTCTTTAATATTTGATTAGGGCAGCACTATTTCCATACCTCTTAGTGGAGCACCAGACTCTTCCTCTCCTGGCAGTGCTCCACTCTGAGTTGCAGGCTGGGAAGCGTTCCTTCTCAGCCTCTCTCTGGCTCTTCATTCGCCGGCCGACTGCTAGGGATGCTTGGACCTGCAGCAGGGCCTGTGTGGGCTGCCGAGTCTCGCTGTAGAACCGGCCTATTAACAGACCTGAAATGCAACAAGACATTGTTGCATCCTTGTTTGTTTGCTGGAGTTTTACTGAAAATGATGTCCATTGATTAGGAGAACAACCTAAGTCAGCAGTTGGTTAAAATATTCAAATCCAGCTTTTGCAATTCAAAATACTGCACAAGTTGTAGCTCTACAGTACGAGTGCTTTATTGTCTTGGTCACTTCGGATTTTTGTGTTTTTAATGAACATTCTTATTTTTGAGTTTGTGTTGTGTGCTGTAACCTGTGTACGTGCTGTTAAGTTTTGTGTAGAGTATTTTAAAAGCTCATCTAGTGAGAATGATTGTAAATAAGCTTAGGCTATAGTGTGAAGTTTTGGTTTTGCTACATACCCTTCCCAATAAAACTAAACTAAAATATTTAAATAACCTAAAATAAAAGTTTGTATTGGTACATTCACCTTGAGATATAACATGTGCATTGTCAATAAATGCTATTCTGTAATTGTACAAATGACAATAAATAACTTAAAACTAGAGGAGAAACAGGAGGTTTACTCACTCACAAGGAATACTCAGGAGTAGTTCGAACATGAGTAATATTGGCTTTAAATTAAAAAAAAAAGTTATTCTAATGGTTTCCCTAATGTTCTGTTGAGGAATAAAAGGCTGATCTTATCCCCTGATGAACGTTGTTATGCTACATCACCAATTCGAAAAAGAAACTGCCATAGGACAGGAGTAAGGTAAATAATCCACATTACATGTCAGCAACTAACTGTTATAAAGGTGAACTGAATAGGATATCACGACATACTTAGAATTGAACTGCCAACTAGTTTTATTTGGGAAGGTATACATGTGCTATACCAACACATTCATAAGAAAAGAGTTGGAGGGGCAAACATCTCATACCAACACTTTTGTAGTCCCTCTGATAGAAGGCCAGCCAGTCATAAAGGGCGATCAGCTGCTGTGGGGACACACTGGACACATCATCTGTCAGGCCCCTCTCTGTGAAGTCCCCTGTGATGAAGGCCAGTGAGGCATCTCTGCCTGAAAATGCAGACATAGAAGATAGCTCTACAGTAGGATACTTATGGCTATGTTTGTATTTGTATTATAGGCCTACCTAAATGCATGTTCCCGATTTAAGTTTGTTAAAGGTTTGGGTTGTTTAACAGCATCAGACAATGTGTCATAAACTACCCACATGTACACATACAAAATATCTCTCTATGGTTGTGAGCTCAGGTATTAAAATATACAATAATATAGGTACTGTAGAAAAAACGAAGAATCACCTGCCATAACGTGATAAGCACCTCCGGGTCCATAGTGATGGTGTCCCTTTTGTACATCAAATACTTGCCCAAGTATTGCCAGGTAAAGGCCCTTGCTGCTTTTCTCCCCGTCGTAAAGCGATAATTCACGGCTGCTCAGGAGCCGTACAGGGGGCACCTGGGTTGTTCCATTTCCAAATGTTAGAAACCACTCGTGAGGAATGAACACAAGTGCCAGGGGTAAAAACGCGCCCAATACATAGCCGAGCATGTTGTTCATTCGACCGTTTTGGTATATTACCCATTTACATCACATTACATCGCTTCTAATTGTAGTATAATGACATATACACCCATGGCAACAACACAGTTGCTTCCTTGAATGGGGACGCCACAGCGCATGCGCGGAGAAAAGGACGTTTCAGGGCAGCACGTTTACGTACAGTACGTCAATGCGGTAGTAGTGAAGGCAGAGCTCTAGCTGTAGGTTAGAGAGGTCTGTGTACAGACCGGTACTACCGTTTCGAAACTGACACCCAGTGGGCCGCAGAGATTTTCGGGGAGCCCTAGGTCGGTGAAACAAACATGGGGAACGCAGAGAGTGGCTGTGGTGGGGGCAGCGGCGACGAGGAAGACATAGAAACGGAGAGCCCCGGCTTCGCGGAAGACAGTCCGGCCTCTGCGGCCACGGCCGTCGGTGTCGGAGGCGGTGGAGGCAGCTCCGGTTCTGGGAGGAGCGGAAGGGGGGTCGAATAACCCGCCCGTGCCCGCCGGTGGACCACCTAGCCCCGGGATACTGTTGGAGCAAGTGAAACTGAGAGAAGCAGCGGCTCGCATTAGCGACTCAGGTGTCGCCATTCAGGAGTCTGTACTGGCCGGGAACGAGGGTGTCCTGGTTCGGTGGCTCGAGGACCGATTGAACCGAGGGGAAGAGTCTGTCAATGTGGAACAATTTTGCGAGATGTTGGAGAGCAGAGATGCCCCACGAGATGAATGTGAAGAGGTATATAATGTTAGAGAAGCTAACGTGCCTCTCACTTGACAAGTGAAATGTCAGTAACCATATGTCATGTTGTTCTTATTCCAGGTCCAAGCATATACAAGTTGATAGCTGTTGTCCAGCCCATTTATGATGAGGGATAAGCAAATATGAGCACATCGTATCCCTGTCATCAATGAGTCAGACAAATTAGCTTTCCTGATTGCTTCAGTTTTACTGTCACTTGTTTTTAACATTGGCCTATAGTAGCCAGGCCCACGCTGCTTTGTTGGCTGACATTTGTTGTTGAACCAAAGGTTGCAGATGAATGGGTAACCAATGAATATGTACTGTAGTCTGCATTGGCTTTGTGTGGGTAAACATGGAATGCCATGGTTATACTTCAAAAAAGATGGGCTTCATTGATTCAAAACCCACACCCCTCCTGAGCATTCAGACATCCAAAGCACATTTGTAAAACATACATTATATCTATATAACTTGCCAACGATCAGATGAGCTGGAACATAATGTGTGCCCTTTGAATGAAGAATACCAACCGTTGAATTCTGCCTTAAGTTATGTCCTTATGGTTTGTGATGATGTGCAGGAATGGGATGGTTGTGTTAGTATATAAAGTGTCACATTGTGTGCTGTGTTTTCCCCCTATCTCAGGCCTTTGGACAGTTTGATGCAGAGGGGGATGGTGTGGTGGATGTAGAGAGCATGCTGATTGCCTTGAAGAACTCCAATGGAGCTAATCTAAAGGGAGAGCTGAGTCATGTGATAAGACAGCTACAGGCGTGCTCCTTAACTCCAGGTATGAACCTGAACCAGGATGCTTTATCCTGCCTTCAACCTCATTTGTATAGCTATTGTCTGTCCTGAGTTGGCATTTGAGTTTACCCTGAATATCTTTCAACCCATTTTTTCCCCACAGGTTTTGTGGACATCTTCTCCAAGACCAAAGACCGGTTAGGGGCACATGCCTCTAAGATCCTTAAGTTCTTACACAGGAATCGTATTCCCAGCAGTGCCATCCCCTTCCCCATCTTAGAGGGCTACAACAGTATCTGCACCATGAGGTCCAGTGTGGTTCAGGACTTCTTGGAATTCCTCTTGCAGAAGGAAAAAGGTGCATTTTGGAAGAGTAAAGTGTCTGGCTAGTGCTGGATAATAGCTTTTACTTGTGTATTTTAAGAATGTGGTAAACAAACAGTATGTACAATTGTATGTCTCCTTCAGCTGCACAGCTTCAGAGAGGCATGATAATCTGTGTCTGTGTCTTTCAGATTTAGATATTCAGTACAGAGCAGAGCTGGACCGCGATCCGGATGTGGATAAAGTCAAGGTGGTAACGCAGTGCTACAGCTCAATAGAAGCTTCATCCAATGTTCCGGACGTTTACAAGATGACAAATGGGGATACTGGATCTTTTTGGCAGTCGGACGGCAGTGCACGCTCACACTGGATAAGGCAAGGGCATATGCTATATAAAATGTGACTCGAGGATCTGCAACTGAATGACATGTTTGCCTGATCCTAGTGCTGGGAAACATGGAGGAAATTATACATCACAATATCTTTGACCAAATACCTTGATATTGATATCATGACGATATTGTAGGGTTAACCATTGATGCTTTATCACAATATTAACACAATGACAATGATCATCAGTAATGTGGATTCACAGCGGGAAAAAAGCGAACAGCTAGAACAGTCCGGTAAATCCAGAAAATGACATCACTTATGCAGTTGTCAAAACCAGGGAAAGACAGCTATGATATCTAAAATCTAAGACGATATCTAGTTTCAAATCACGATAATATATCTACACAATATTGCCCAGCCCTACCTGATCCTTGATGTTTTTGGTCTCTATGAATATAATACATTTTAATGTGTTGTCTTTTTTCTGTTCCCAGATTGAAGATGAAACCTGATGTGGTTTTGAGACGTCTGGCCATTGCCGTGGTTTCAAACGACCACAGCTACATGCCTCAGCTGGTCTCAGTGGCCGTCGGGAAGAACCGGCGTTCGCTGCAGGAGATCAGAGATATCCGCATCCCCAGCAATGTCACAGGCTACGTAGCTCTCTTGGAGAATGCCAACATCACACACCCCTGTGAGTCACCACCTGTTTGTCTGTCTGCTTTGTGTTTATTTATCTTACGCTGGTGTCTTCCCTTTCTTGTAGAGGAATTGCATTTTTCATTTGTACCAGAAGTCAGGGTGCAGCTATAGAAGAGCACCGCTGGGATCAAGTAGTTTAGTGGCTTAGTGCCACACTTTGAATAATCATACAAGCTTCTGTTGGCATCAATTCAGCTTGAATTCTGGCATCAAATCCAGGCACTGTTTTGTTGTTTATATTTGCTGCTGACTGGTTAAACTCTATATTTCAATGTTTTTTTCCCCTGAGGTCTTAAAAGAACATCTCTGTAGCCAATAGGCCACACATCCACCTTTTTATTAGAAGTTGTCTGACCGTGCAGAAGCTATGCTAAACCTCACAAGCTCAGATAAATGTGTATAAATGAGGATAAGAGCAATTGAGAACTGATTGAGCTGTAATCAAGATCAGTCATGTATATTCAAAGAAGTTAAATGGAGAAAACATTAAGCTACGTCATTTGAAAACAGTCCTGTGGTTTGCAGCTCTGACTTCAGGCTGAACCAGTCACACTCCTGTTTTTCTAAAATGATAACGTGCTTTGTATGAGCCAATAAAAATCCATTGGCTAGCTTTGCTTGCTCATATATAGTACAAGAGATTTGTTTATCCCTCATCAACATCTACTTTGCGTGGTTCTAAGAGGATGAAGCGACCCATTACATCACTTTTGCATTATGTATTCCATCAGTCTGCTAACTGCATTATCTCCTCATCAAATCCCAGACATCCAAATCAACATTAAGCGGTGTTTGAGCGATGGATGTGACACGCGCATTCATGGTTTGAAGACACTGGGCTATCAGATTACCAAGAGTAAAGAGGTGTCTGTTTCCGATGCTTCAGCCATCTGGTACTTGTCTCTCCTCACCTCCTTGGTCACCGCATCCATGGACACTAACCCTGCACTCGCTCAGACTGTCCTACAGAGCACACAGTAAGACGCTCATGCTTTTGCACATGAAAAAAAAGTGATGTTTGCAAGGATTCTAATGATTAATTGAGTGTTTGTCCAGTTCTGAGTGCTTTTTTGTGTTTGTTTCTCCTAGAAAAGCCTTACGGCACATGCCACCGTTGTCCCTAACACCATCATCCACTGAGTTCCCCAAGTTCTTCTCTCTGAACATCCTGGAGGAAGTGGATGGATTTCTCCTCAGGATAGCAGAGTAATGACCTGCTGGGATTTCATCAGCACACTTACTCATCACTGCCACACTGAGTTCATTATGCTGACATCATCACAATTAAAACAGGCTAAAATCAAAGTATTGATCTGATGGGCTGATGACACACTATTTCCATTCCATGCTGTAAATCCTTCAGTGGTGGCTAGGGTCTTTATCAACAACAGCAGTAGCATGACAGAAATAACATGACAGAAATGATCTTATCAGTTAATGATCAGAAATATTACTGTGTTTATTCACACATTTAAATTCAACAGTGTTACAGATACATCATGGCCAGTATTGGTCCTTACTGGAGTTGTCGCAATGTTGTTGCTAAATAATGCAATCCATATTTTTGTTATAGTCACATGTAGTAAATCATTTAATCTCAGGTTTAAGTCATGCTTTATTTGATGGGTGGCAGCTTTAAAGGATAGGTTTACATTTGTTCAAGTCATGCCTACATTGACATTTAATGGTTGCTATATTTTTTCTTTTCTCTGAAACAGCCACACAGAGACCTTTCAAATATAAGTGATTGGGGACAAGATCCTCTTACAAAAAACATTTTTATGTTTCGACTTAATATCTGGCGTCCACAGTCTGAGTTTTGCCCAACATGAACAGTAGGAAAAAATACAGCCAGTGATCAATAATGCTTTCAAAGTACAAATAGGCATGTAAGAAATGTGAATCTCAGATACGTTCTGGAGTTATGACCATGCATGAACACCCATTTGACCAAAATACAGATGATCATCTCATATGACTATAGGCACCCTGAAACTAACTTGTTTGTTTATTTGCTCCTGTGCAGCTGCTGTGTGAGTCCTGATGCAGAATTGACCCTCTTGGCCTTTGCTCTGGCCAGAGGCAGTGTGGCAAAAGTGCTCCAAGCCCTGTCCTGCATCAGCGATCATTTAGAGACGGAGTATACGGCCGGCGCCCTCATCGTGTCTATGGCCTCAGTGAGACTGCGACTACTTAATCGCAATGGTAACGTGACCAGCCCTTCCTTTTACTCTCACTCACTCACACTAGGCCATTTGAAACCATAGACACAGGAGAGAAAGTGCTTAGCCTGCAAGGAGGAGGAAATGCATTAGTGGACTTTGCAATGAAAAAAATATAATTATGTTATAAAGCTGCAGTGCAGTGTGTGAATCATTGCCTCAAGATAGGAATCGAGTTATAACCTGTATGAAAATTGAATAACTATGATGTCATAATGCACAGTCATAATGCAATGTGTCTTATTATTACAGGGAAGCCCCTCCAGTTGCACCTGCAGGCCTGCGATGTGAAGAGTAAGGAGGAGAAGTCAGGACCAGACAACATGCTGACAGAAACCTCCACTGGAGACGGTACAACTGAGACCATTCCTGTTCCATGAAATACTAGCAATAATATTAGGTTTATATATATATATATATATATATATATATATATATATATATATATATATATATATATATATATATATATATAGGCTTAAAATAAGTCTTGACAGTTGGGGAATTGCTTAAATATACCTGCATTATTTTCAAAGTAAAAAATGTGCTTTTGATTCAAATATACTCAAACAATCTATTTTCATAATCTCTTACCTATTTAAACCAAATATCAATAATATTTTAAATGAAACAATCCCATCATCAAATGAATTTGTTGTTTCTGTTATAAAGGAATTCTTTAAACAATATTATTCAGAATACAATTTTTAGTAGCAATCTAGATGATAAATACTTTGAGAATCTGTTGGTTTTTGTTCCTTGAAAAGTCCTTGTATTTTAACCCTTTTAAAAGCTGTACAAACCCTGAAGTATGAACTCAGTGCTCAGATATAACGATATGTTTCTTGCTCATAAGGTTTTCTATCCGAAAGCGGCAGGAAGAGAGCCAGTGTGATCCTGTCGACAGAGGACCAGAGTAACTTCCAGGTCACTCAGATGAAGATCAAAGTGAGGCTCCATTTGGTTTCACCATATACTTGAGATGAGGATTTCTGTACAAAACACTCACTCTGTGGTTTGTGTGATCAGGTGCGGAAAGGAGCCATTGGAGCAAAATGCGGCTTGGTGTTTGCATACAAGGAAGACAACCCTTTTGATGCAGAGAAACATTTCAAGAGGTTCAAGAAGTATGACTCGTGGGTTTACAAGGACTACAAAGAGTTTGTGCAAGACAAGTAAGGATCCCTTCATAGACGCCTGAATTATATTATTCCCAATATTTACCATGCTTTTGTGTTTATCGCTTCACAAGTATACAAGTAATGCAACTCCTCAGTAGTGTGGGGGTCTGTCTTAGTGATTTAAGTGAATGGTTGTTTCACCATGCTGTTACCTGACCTGCAGTGTGAAGATGCCAACACAGTCAGAGGACGAGCCGATTGGCTGGTTTGAGCTGGAAGAAGACTGGAATGATGTTGAGATCAAGCTGCAGCAGTGTCGTGTTGCAAAGGTACGTACTGCATCCAAAACACATGTTGACACTTTGAAATGTTGTCATTTAGTATTAGGTATGGAATCCCTGAGAGGCAAGAGAGAGAAAAACAAATTCTGCTGAGCCAGGATAAGAAACAGGGGAAATTATTTGCAAGGTGGTTTTTGCCTGGATAATCAGTCAAAAATTGGTAAAACAAATTAAGTTTTGGCAGGTAAAAGAAAGATATGTGAAATATAATGTTTGCCTATGTCCATTTGGGCTTCACAACTGCTTTTTTCAGAAACCTATAGATGACCTCTTAGATGCTGTGTCAATTTCTTTATAGAGTCTATGGTTCTAAATGGCATGTAAAGCTTAGCAGAAATATGACATAACTTGCTAATACATAATATATGTTATCTTGGGTTGTGTTTAGATTGCATGACACAATTTGTATTGGTAACCTAGAAATATTATTCGACAAAACCTTTTTATTTTTCCATAAACACTGGATAAAACAAATGGATCATCAGAATCGTTTTCTTTATTACCTTTCAGGGCTTCCATAGCTTAGGGCTTCCAAAACACAATAACAAAAGTATTGCTACATACTAAAGAATGCAAAACGAGGGCCATTCTATTTGCTGTAATTATCAGGTAACCACACTTCTTAATCGTCTGTTTCTTTCCAGTTCCTGATGGTGAAGTTCCTCGGCACCAGGCAGGACTCTGCAGAGCGCCTTGGCGTTCAGTCGCTCAGCTTCAGTGGGTATCTGTGCCCGGGCCCGGAGAGGCTGGCAGACCTGGACGACCTCAGCCCGGAGGGAGAGAGCTTCGACTCTGATGTCGTCACTGGCCTTTGTCTGCTTAACAAGACATTATACTTCATTCAACAGCTCACACGAGAAATGGTAACTACTGGTCACAATTATAGTTATTACTAATCGTTTAAACATCAATATTGTTTAAAATCATCTCAGATTGAAGAACACCAGCAAGAAAGACTGAGAACAAGTAGGGATATCCTTATTGTGGCAGGAATTCACAAGGTTTATAATATGACAATTTAACATACCGCTGGCCTGAGAAGCTTGACTTAAAGGTGGGGTAGGTAAGTTTGAGAAACCGGCTCGAGATACACTTTTTGTTATATTCCATGGAATGCTCTTAACATCCCGATAGCAATGAATATCTTAAGTGCTTTGACAAAAAATCCATAAAAACATTTCATCTGTGGAAGCCGTAATACTGTAAAAAGCACGACCAATCATTTTAGCCGGCCCAGCTAAAATAACTGGATGGCCTACCTGCCTGTCAGCCTTCCATCTGTGCACAAACTTATCTCGTGCCCCGATTGGTCATGTGCGCGTTCGTGTGTTGGAGGAGGGGCTCTGTAAGGAAGTGGCAGATTTCTTCCGGCTGTGTATTTTCAAATTCTAGCGCACTCGAGCTGGTTTCTCCAAAATTACCTACCCCACCTTTAAGTCTTGTATTTATAACAAAATATCAAATGTCATTTGGTGAATTAACTTACTTCTTTATGTGTTTATTTCCCTACTCATTTACTTTGACACGTAAACTTTAGGGGGAAGTAATTCATTTTATTTTTCTTTCCTATGTGAATGACTTTAGAACAGGTAGAGAAAAGAAAAAAATGTTTTTCCGGGGATACAAGATGATTTAGTATGATCATGTTTTACAAGTTACTTTTATTTTATTTTTCACCATAAGTGGGAAAATAAAACTCACACGGAAGAAAACATGAATGCTTTTAGTCTTATTTATAAAAATGGGCTTGTGGCTACTCAAGCCACTGTAGTATGCAAACCTTTTCCCTTTGTTTTCACATATAGATTTTGTATCCCCAGAATTTCTTTCCCTACTTGCCTCTCTGAGCTTCCGTAATGTTACTTTAACTATATTCTTTTTTTATTTATGATGACCCGCTTATAGTAATTGCAATCCATTACCACAAGTATTTTTACTGTATGGCTGATCTGTTAGGTTAAATTGGTACTTCATATTTGGGACATTCATTATTATGTTCTGTTTTTGTTATTGTTGTAAACTGTCGCCCTCTCTCTCCACTGGTGCAGGATGCCTCTCACTTCAAGCAGAAGTATCTTCTGGACTTCAGCGGTCTTGGCCTGAACCTCTTTTGGGACTTCTACAGTAAACTCAGGGAGATGTGAGTAGTGGTGCTGTTACTGCTTTTTTTTTTTTACTTCAACCTTTAGAACAGCAATATTTACTATTGCAGACATATTAAGGTCTCTCCTGTAATAATGCATAATGCTTTTTTCTCAGTGAGGGAGAGGAGGTGTTGAAGAGCAGAGTCCTGCTGCTTCAATTGATGCAGAACTGTTTCCCCATGCTGCCCAACCCATTGGAGCCCCGGGGCCCAGAGGAGAGCAGGGCTTCAGAGGAGGGGGCCACAGCAGCAGTGGCTGTTCCTTCCACGTCCAGCAGTGTGGAGCCCCCGCCTGACTCTGTTAGGGCTGTCTGTGAACTCTACACCCACATCTGCCACAGTAAGAACAACTGGAAGAACATTTTTGGTTTAATGGTCACATTGAGCACCAGGAAAAGCGCTATATAAATAACATGTATTATCATCATTATTATTATTATTATTATTCGGTTTAAGAAACTTCAAGGAACTTCCCTTTTGTGTTGATTTTGACGCTCCCTGTGGACAGAGGCGGTAGTTTCTCCACAAGAACACTGCTATGTGTTGTAATGATCTTGATATCGCAACTGGTAGTTATTTTTAAGACTACACTCAGTAAACTTTTGTTACACAGTACCAGATTGTCATGATTTTTTTGTAATAATTTTGTATGAAGCAACAATATGTTTGTGATTTTTAGTTGTGGATGGTGCAAAGGGCGGGTCTTTAGTGGAAAAAGCTTTGCACAAGGAAGCAGTCAAGGCCATTCTTAATGGAGCGGCTGTTTTCTTCCCGGATAAACACGTCAGAAGGGACAAACTATTCGACATGATGGTGAGTTTATGAAAAAAAAAGTAAATAATCATAATAACAATAATAAAAATATAACTATATAATGCAAAATGTGCCTCTTGCAGAAAAACATTACCGAACAGGATCAGCCAGAGTCAGTGAAGGTGACATTTGAATCGCTTTGCAATTACTTCAGGTAAGGATACTGTAGATCAGGGATGGGCAACTTGGATGGTGGTGGGGGCCACATAATGTATGTACTGGCCACCAGGGGGCCGCAGATTCACTTGGAACACACACACACACAAATTCCATGTATTGTATGTAATTATTAACAAATATACGAAGTCTGACATCTTCATTGACATTTTACAATCTTTCAGGGAACATCCTCTAACAAGCTCACTAAACCAATATCAGTTCACAGAAATGTTATTTATTTTTTATGAGTGGCATGTTTGTATTGAACAGGTTATTTAACAGTGGAATAAAACTATTTTAAACTATTGGAAAGCACGGAAAATATGTGTGCATTGAGATTAACCATTAAGATGACATAAACATGAAGATGAACACTAACCCAGACATTAGTTGTCTAACTTGAACCTAAGACACTTGTAGCCTGTCTCTGCTGACGCACAATAAGGGGAGTGTCAACACAGACACCTGTCAACCCGCACTCTGCTGTTCCTCAGCGCCGCTCCCCCTCCCTCCCGCTGAAATTATGAATGAAAAGCGTATAGTAATCATAGATAACACGGCAGGGTCCGTGACAGTTTGTTTTCATCTGATTTCAAATAAACAAAGTCTTGGTTTTTAGAATATTAAACTTGTTTCACCAAATTCAGATAATAAATACAACTTTTAAGCTTGTAACGGCATAATTACAAGCGGCAACTTAACGTCACAGCAGGCATAACAACAGCCCGTGTTTCTTGTGAGTGTTTCCCCGGGAAACAAACACAATACACACAAACGCATCACAGATTATTTCGCGGTATATGGCTGCCGAACGAAATCATGTACCGTAACTAGGAGTCTAGTGGACGGTATCAGTACTACAAGTAAAAAAGATGCGCCATTTGCCCATCCCTGCTTTAGATAAACAACAAACGCATTACAATTCTTGTTAAGATCACAGTGGATCAGCAGCGTCTGTGTTCTCTCCGTGCAGTGACCAGGATCCAAGTGGCCTTCTCCTGCTCCCCCCTAAAGGGGCTCCCTCAGACTTTGACATCAGCCCCATACTGTCAGTAATGGAGACGTTGCTGCTGGTGGCAACGAGAGAGGTGAGGCCTCTGACAAACACACCATGTATTTACCATGGCCTTGTTGTTGTCCGATGTACTAATGTCCCTCTCTGTTCTCCCTTCTCTCAGTGTGAGGTGATGATGGTGGATGAGAACAGTGGAGCCAGCAGGATGGTGTTGCTGTCCTTGTTTTGGGCTCTGCAGGGTAGTCTGCTCTCCTGGTGCTACCTGCAACTCAAAGGAGGAGCCTCCACCGCCATCTCTAAGGAGCTGGCCAGAGACATCCTACTGAAATGTGAGATATTGCGAAATGTGTAACGTCACAGCTCCCTTTTTTCCAGGGTTAGATTCTAGAGGTGTGAATCTTTATTTGGGTCACATTCTGCTTCAAAATTGATTTTCGATTCAAAGCAATTCCTGATTCAGAATTGATTCTGGAATCAGTACATAGGGGTTGTAATTTCAGGACGTATTCCATTCTGCTGTGTACTAATAAAAGCAGTGTTACAAATTAGGGTATTAGGTAATAATGCATTACTTAAAAGATTATAGATTTCTATAGATACAACTGAACTGCAAGCTTAAACACAAAATGAAATCTAAGACAAAAGGTTACATTTATTCATGTTAAATAGAAAAAACTCTAATTACTTAAACGTTTTTTATTATTCATCAATAGTCAGTGATTTCAAGAATACACATTTTCTGTTTTACAAAATATATGCTACCTGTTACAAAAATGAATCTGATAGGATTAAGCTAGCTGCCTTTTTATTGCTCTGAAACATGCACATTTCAATTATAAAATGTAGACAAACTAAACTTTTTTCATCAAATGTGGTAGTCTAACCGATTAAAAGAAATTGTGTAATGGGTCAGTACAAATTCTGAGTAAAATCCACTGTTGAGTTCATAAAAGGATTTGCTTACCAAGACACTAAACGCTTCATTCCAACAGATGTGGATCAGTTCCTGGAGAGCATCAAAGGTGTGCTTGGTTCCCTGCTGGGGAGGTACACTGGTGCTGAGATCACTGACAAACTGGGCAGCTCCATCCTGGCCACGGTCTTCCGACAAATGGTAATACAGTCTTATCTCATGGTTTCAATTTCCTTTTTCAGCACAATTATAAAGTTGATCGTTCTGAGTGACAGTGATATTTGTTCTGTTCCTGTCAGATGATTTTACTCCTGGAGCTGTGCTCTCTGGACATCCCTCACAGCGTGCTGCTGAAGAGCTTCTCCTCTCTTGTGGAGCTACTCAAGAGCCTGTCCAGTGACACCGGAGACATCTTCTCTAAGGTCAGTCCGCTCTGACCTAAGTCTAATTTATACAGTCTCTCATCTTATTATATGAGTATTGATTTAATTTGATGAATAAAACACTGCACTGCAGTCATTAAAAATAAAATAAATGGTCTTTTTCCCCATTAGATTATTAAATCAAAAAGGCACAATTTTCCTAAAACTACTTATTTTAAAGCAGCTTTGATTGTCTCTTAAAGGTAGGGTAGGTAACTTTGAGAAACCGGCTCGAGATCGCTAGAATTTGAAAATACACAACCGGAGAAAATCTGCCACTTCCTTATAGAGCCCCTCCTCCAACACACACGAACGCGCATATGACCAATGAGGGCGCGAGATAAGTTTGTGCACAGATGGAAGGCTGACAGGCAGGTAGGCCATCCAGTTATTTTAGCCGGGCCGGCTAAAAGATTGGTCGTGCTTTTTACAGTCCTACGGCTTCCACAGATGACATTTTTTAATGGATTTTTTGTCAAAGCACTTAAGATATTCATTGCTATCGGGATGTTAAGAGCATTCCATGGAATATAACAAAAAGTGTATCTCGAGCCGGTTTCTCAAACTTACCTACCCTACCTTTAATAATTAAAAAATGGTTTTAAATACTTTGTTCTTATTTTGTAAGTGAACAGCATCTTAATGTCAATTTTAAATATAAATAATTGTACACATTCAACCAGTTAAGCTTTTAAAATCAAGAGGTGTACATGGGAAAGCCTTTTATATAACCCATATCAATTTATTTTGAGCCCTTTCCAGTTTTCTTTTGAAAGTGTTGCGAAGTTGGTTGCGTTAATTAGATTTATTTTATACACTGGTGTCGGAATGTGGATTGTATTTTATAACTTTTGTCTATAAGAACAAATATATTTAATCTAACCAGTAACTGCAGAAGTCACAAAGAAATGCAATACAAAGTACATTTTTTATATATCTTGTAGTTTGTTCACCATTGCTTGCCATGTGACCTTCAGGTGGATCAGGACAGCTGGCACCAGCCCCAGCAGCCGGTGGTCCTAAGGACCTGGAACATGGAGTCCCCTCACAACTACGAGAACAGCCGCCATGAGACCAGCATCTTCGCCTGCCCTGGTGCTACATCCTTTGAGGTGGAGTTTGACAAACGCTGTGAGACAGAGAAGAGGTGACTGATATGAAATATATTACATATATTCAGATTTTAACCTTGTGAGACTATTTTATAACCCATCCTCTACGCTCTTGATTTTCACAGATACGACTACCTAGAATTCACCGATTCTAGAGGAGGGAAGGTCCGCTATGACATGAAGGTTGGAAGTGAGAAGTGGCCAAAGGTACGATATGGGAAACCATTCAGTTCTCTTCAAAAGAAACAGTGTTGCTACTTATTTAATTTACACACGCATGCTGCTTCTCTTTTCTCCTCCAGAAAGTGACATTTGACGCTGGCCCTCAGCTCCAGTTCCTCTTCCACTCTGATAGCAGTAATAACGAGTGGGGGTACAAGTTCACTGTGACGGCCATGGGCCTGCCAGATATCACCATTTCATGGATGTCAGACCTGCAGCTGCTGGTGGCTCGCCTCATGGGTCGCCTCGCTTCCAGGACCCTCGCCCTGAAATCCCCCCATGGTGAGACTGCTTTACATCATTGTTCAAAAGGGCTGATATAAAGTGTTTATTTGTGTGAATCTGTTAACAAAGCAACATTTTGAATGAATGTGTTGGGCCAATGTTAGAATCTTCCTTATCTATTAATGTTGAGGTTTAAATTAAGGATTTTAAGGGAATCTTTTAAACATGTTTTGTTTAGAGCAAAATATGATCGATCAACAGAAAAATGACCGCCTACTTCATTCTTAATTGATATATATTTCAAGTTATTTTTCATGGAAAGTTCAGCTTTTCTCGTTTTTATATAATTTTAACTGAATATATGTTTTTTTTATTGACAAAGCAAAACATAAAGTCATCTTCTTGGATTGTGAGGTGGACATTTTTAACAATACGCTGACATGTAATGGACCAAAGGAGTTCATGTAGAATACAATTGGCAGATGAACAATCAATGAACATATGCTGATATTTGTGATTTATTGTCTATTCCAGAGATCCGCACAGTTAAGGAGCTTCCATCTGGTAAAATGTCCCATGTTCAGTCTTCTCCTTTATGGAAACCCATTCTGCGACACGGCTTGTGTGAAACAAGGGAAACTACTCAGGCTAAGACCCCCACAGACCAGGTACTGTCAATTTTACATCAACATATATAGCATTTCCATTCTCTCAGCAGCTAGGTGTTGCTCTAATACTATGTATATTTGTTGTGGTGTAGACAAATGCATGGACTCTGGACGAGTTGATGAGCTTCCTGGAGGACCTCGCCCGCTGGAACCCTTCTCTGGAGCCCACAAACTGTAGAACAAAGCTGATGAAGACCCTCATGCAATCCTGCAGAAAACAGCCATTGAGGAACGAGATTGCCTCTGGGTTGAAGACAGACCAAGCTGTGAATGCCATTTGGGCCGCCATGGTATACCACACACCAGCCCTCAACCATGCCCTGAGGAACTATGGTGAGGCTTGGCTGCAGTCATTGTCCAAAGAGCATTTTTCGATTTCTCTCTTTGTTCACTCATTTGAGTATTACTTTCTTCTGTTTTGTCTTTGCATGAGTAGTTAATCAAGACTGCAAGTCCTGTCTGAGCGAAGAATTTGTGCAGGCGTACGCATTTGCAGACAGCATCAGAACATGGATGGTGAGTTTTACTGACATGACTCATAATTTTGTTGATTATCTGCCTCTGAGTTTATATATCATCATGATGCTGAACTATTATGCTGATGTCATTTTCCTGTCAGTTGGAGATGAAACAGAGATACCTGGTCAGCAAAATGAATGTCTCTGACGATAAAGAAGGGGGTAATGATGAGGTTAACATGGAGACACTAGGTAAGGACTACACCTTTCTTTACACCAACTATGTTATATCTTTGATATCAAAGTGTTACATTTAAGAATTGTAATTGGTGTGGTTATAGAATAAGTACTCCATCTTTTTTTTTTCTTCTAAGGGTTTGCAAAACTATTTAATTGACAGCCATATACATTTGATTCATTGTATTTACCGAAATGATATTGAAGTGTTCAGCTGTATTTTCTTAGAAAAGTTTTACATTTTGAATATCTGCAGATACACAACAATAAAGGACTCGGATCAAAGGCAACAAATGTAATCGTGACACCTCTAACTATTTTGCTGCCTCCTTATTTTTCTTCCCTCTAGCCGAGATGTGCATTGAGAAGAGCCTGTTGCTCTTCAGATTCACTCCCTGCGGAGTCCCATACCAGGAAAACGACTCTTCCAGAGCTGCAGAGGGCAGCAGTGCTCCACTGTTCCGCTCCTGTTCCATCTCAGAAGCAGACTTCCAGGCCAGCTCGTCTCAGGGACCTCAGGCTGCGGGGTCTGAGGAGGGGGTCGATGCCAGGGCCGGACAGAGCCAGCCCCCCGGTGCTCCGGCACAAAGCTCATCATCGTGTGGGCACGGCCGACAGGGCCACATAGGCTCCACAGAGAGCCTCTCCTCCCAGTCAGGGGAGCCAGCCTCCCCCTCTGCTGTCCCCCGTAAAGCCCCATTCAGCCGGGCACGCCTGCGCCTCCTGTCCTGTCGATCGATAGAAGAGCCCCGTATGACCCCCTCTATCAAGGATCGCTACCCAATAATCAAACACATCCTGAACTTTATAAAGGACCAGGCTCTCACAACAGCAAGGTGAGTGACGTCGAGGGTTGTTTTTAGTATTATTCGTTTTTGTAATTGTACAATACAGAGTTAAATCATCCAACTCTTTCTCCTGTAGCATTCTGCAGACCCTGTCCCTGAGCAAAGCCCAGGCTGTGAGTGTGTGCAAAGTCCTGGAGATGGTTCAGCAGTGTTTGCATTCTCTCGGAAAGCCACACCTCTTCCAGGCTCCCTGCATCCTGTTCCTACAGGAGCTGCTGGCATGCCAGAAAGACTTCACCAGGTAGACCTGTAGAAAAGATTTAGATGAATGTGGAACAACAGTAAATTGTATGGGTTGTATGTTAATATTCAAGGAGGAACGCTCTGAGAGGTTATAGCGTCCTTAGCTTCTGTACTGTGACCTTTGCCCAGTGAAACAGAAGATTTGAGTACAGCTACGAAATCAAATCCTTCACATTTTATTATAGCAATAAAAAGTGGGCCAGCTTAGAGGACAGAGAGCTGCATCTCCACACTCCACTCCCTAGTCGCTTGCATGAGCCCATGTACTACTTTGTTGTAAAGAAAGAAATGATGATTGGATTTTGATATATAAATAAATACTTATTGGTAAGCAAGTCCAAATAATTGGTAAAAGCATTTTTTTCTTCGTCTGTTAAACATATCAGAAAGAAGTGTTTGTTGTTGTAATTTTTAAACATTTAGGCCATAAGAGGCTAAAGGGCATCATTACCATAGACCAGTGACCATCAACTGGCGCCCCGCGGGCCAAATCTGGCACGCCAGACATTCTCATCCGGCACGCGCTGTGGCGCTGGCGGAGTGGTTAGTGCGTTCGCCCCCCACTCATTTTTTTTTTTACAACGTCTCGTGAGTAATGTGCAGTACTGGAGTCCAACAGAGAGGCAGCAGCTGCGGGACAGTAGCCTGCGTACTGCGTAGCCTTCCCTGCCCTGAAGAAGGAGTGATCCTTCGTTAGCGTGAAGAGTCTGCTTTTTAAGCGCTCCGCAGTAGCTCCTGCTACGAGGCTCCGGCGACTTGACAGTACATGAGCGTGCTCCACTAGCACCCCCCCGGTCAACAACTTCAAAATTCAGGGCTATATAAAAATCGCTGGCCCCCGAAAGTGTCTCGAGGAATTATTTTGGCCCTTGGACAAATGTAGTTGGTGATCCCTGCCATAGACCGTATACCTCTATATAAATCACAACAAACAAGGCAATAGATAACCTTTTTGACTTGCCAAAATATTTTATTTCCAGCAGTTTGATGAAAACTAATTATTAAGATATAAAATAATAACAATATAGATTTGTTTCGTAAATGCTCAAATATGTAATATGTACTTGACAACAGCATTGGAGGTGCCAGATGTATGTATCTTACAAAATGCTGTATGTAATTCACTCATGATCCTCTTTTACTCCGTTCTTTCCAGTTATTTCTCTCAGTTGTCAGACAGCGGGCAGAAGCTCGGAGAGGAGGTGAGGCGTTCCTACCATCAGCTGGTGCTCATGCTGGTGGACGCAGTACAAGGCTTCAGTAGCCTCAATGAGAAGTAAGTTCTTATTCACTGAAATCAAAAAGCTCTTGTTCAGCGTCATTCTAAGTGTGTGTCCAGTGGTGTAACCTGTCATTTACCCCTGCTCTCAGAGCCCTGCTCCCCGCCCTGTCCTGTGTGCAGACCGTCTTGCTGCACCTTTTGGACATGAGCTGGGAGGTTCACGACCTTCCTCTCTTCCTGGATATAAAGCTACCGGACCTCCTGCTCAGCATGTCCCAGGAGAACATCAGTGTTCATGACATCGCTATCAGGTAATCTCAGAGTCATCTCAGAAATAAAATAGGCGACACACAGTGGAAATGAAGTGCTTCCCGTTGATTACAATTATGAAGCACATGCACACAGCTTTCCTTTTGACAAATCAGTAGTTTTGCAATGTGCCTTGTGAGCAATATTTTAAGCAGTGTCTTAGCTACTAAAATAGCAGAGATAATAAAATGATACTATCCTGTGGTTTGAATTTGTCTTCAGTCAATGGACAGAGGAGGATGAAATCGCAGACTACAAGAAGAACCAGGAGTGGATGGATGAGTGCATGGACGGGATGTTTGAGAAGTGGTATGACAAAATCGATGAAGAGGACTCCATGGAGGACAGGAGAAAGGTACATCACAGTCCAATCACTAGAAGGACAATTGTCTGGTTTCTGGGGAGACAAATGGCACTTAACCTGACTGCCCTGTCTTTAAGCTATGTGCTCAAATTAGCATACTGTTATTCTGTTGTTTAGTCTTGTACCATTAAGGTACTGCAGCCAACCTTTATATCCATTAAGGGTAAATCTGATGAATATTTAAAGTCATTATTTGGTCTATAAATGTCAGATAGTGGTGCAACATTTAAAACTGTCTTTTGTAGACCAAAGTGATGTTGTGGTTTTTCAGGCCAAAACCCAAAGAAATTAGATTAGATTCAACTTTATTGTCATTGGACAGAGTACAGGTACTAAGACAACGAAATGTAGTTTGCATCTATCCAGAAGTGGAAAACAGCAGAAAGTGCAGAGTTGTTCAAGTATAATATCAATATCTATATATATATATATATATATATATATATATATATATATATATATAAACATATATATATATATATACATATAGATATATATATATATATATATATAAACATATATATATATATATAAACATATATATATAAACATATATATATATATATAAACATATATATATAAACATATATATATATATATAAACATATATATATAAACATATATATATAAACATATATATATATAAACATATATATATAAACATATATATATATATATAAATATATATATATATATATATATATATATATATATATATATATAAACATATATATATATATATATATATATATATATATATATATATATATATATATATATAAACATGTTACGGGTATAAACAGACTGAATGTATTTACACTATGAACATTATGAGGAGGTATAAACATTTTTTAACAGCAGTATAGAAATTATAAAGGTATACAAATATACAGTATAATACAGACACTATCCACAGAATAAATATAGACCCTTATTGACGTTTTTAATTTCAATAACGGTAATGTAATTAAATATAACATAAAAAAGAAATCAAATAATTCAAATATATGAGGCTAAAAAAATGAAATGTTCATGAAAAATGCTAGGCTGGTGATTGTTTTACCTTCGTTAGACTAATCCATTTGTTGACTTATCACTGCAGCTCACCACTTAATAATAATAATAGCTTGGATTTATATAGCGCCTTTCAAGGGACCCAAGGTCGCTTTACAAGTAATAGGGCAAAAAACAAACATAACAAAACAAAAGTCAGACAGAAAAAACAACAGATCGATTAGGGGGCGAAAGCCTTGGCAAACAGATGGGACTTGAGGGCCCTTTTGAAGGCGTCGAGTGTGGGGATGTTGCGAATCTCCGCAGGGAGAGCGTTCCAGAGGGTGGGGGCTGCCACACTGTAGGCTCTGTCCCCGAAGGTTCGCAGTTTGGTGCGGGGGGTGGTGAGCAGGCCAGAGTCTGAGGACCGCAGGTTCCGGGGTGGGGCATGTGGGTGAAGGATGTCCGATAAGTACTGGGGGGCAAGGGCATGGAGGGACTTGTAGGTAAGGAGGAGGACTTTGTAGGATATGCGGGACTTGACCGGCAACCAGTGGAGGTGGATGAGGGTGGGAGTGATGTGCTGCCACGGCTTTGTGTGTGCGAGTACCCTAGCAGCACAGTTTTGGACATACTGGAGCCTGTCCAGGGTTTTGTTGGGAACTTACACTAAGCTAAGATGTATGCAGGTGTTTGCTCACCATATATAGGAGCTTATTGCTTATAATAATACCGTGTACTTACATGTACCTGCTTTTATCCACAGATGCACATGTTCATCGCACGTTATTGTGACCTGCTCAATGTTGTCATCTCCTGTGACGGCTGCGAGAGGATGGCTCCCTGGCACCGCTACCGATGTCTGCAGTGCATGGACATGGACCTCTGCAAGACCTGCTTCCTCAGTGAGCTCACACACTCCACTACGCCACTCACACAGTCACTTATTGTAAGTTAGATAAAAGCAGAACCAAATGTGTGTTTGTTTTTTTACCAGGTGGTGCCAAGCCTGAGGGCCATGAGGACGACCATGAGATGGTGAACATGGAGTATGCATGTGACCACTGCCAGGGGCTCATTGTAGGCAGCAGGATCAACTGCAACGTCTGTGAAGACTTTGACCTGTGCTTTGGTTGTTACAATGCAAAGAAGTATCCCGACAGGTGATGCATTTAAAGTGTCTTATTCTGTTTAAACACATTTAATCACTGACCTCCGAATTGTTGGCTTAATGGTTTTTATCATTCCCATCTCTAGCCATCTGCCCACCCATCGGATCACAGTCTACCCCATGGTGACAATACGAATTAGTGACCGCCACCGCCTGATCCAGCCCTACATCCACAACTACTCCTGGCTTCTTTTTGCTGCTTTGGCTCTCTACACGTCAGAGCTTAGCAGTCAGAAGCAGATGGAGGGCGAGTCTTTAGACAGCAACACCTTGAGCCAGGCCTCATCTCTGCAGACACACTGCTCCCAGCTCATCACTGACTGTTTGCTAAAGGGGCAGCCTGGAAAAGGTAAGTTCAAACCAGAAATTCGTTTTTGAAGGACTCGTTCCACATTTTGGAAAATACACTTGTTTTTATTATTTATTGCTGATACCTGGATGAGGAGTCTTTAATCTAAGTATCAAACTAAAGCCAGCAGCAGGTTATTTTAGCAAGACTAGATGCAAGGCAAACTACTTGCGTGGCCTCCTTTGCCAACCAGACTTGTGTTGATTGCTTCATGTAACTGAGCACAAACACTTAAGCATATTTACCAAATTGTAGAACAATTCCTTTAAACACAAAATTGGCCCTTGGAGAGATAAGCTTCATCTATCCATTCCCGTCTCCCACATGTTTGATGAACTTGGGTACAACAATGTTCTGTATTTTCAAACTAAATTAATTGCATAAGGGAGATTTTTCATTGTTTACTCATGTTTAACCATTTTTCATTGTATATCAAACCTTTCTTTTCAATCCATCCACATAGGTCTTCGTTCCTCAGCCTTGCTCGCCCTGCTGTCGCCCAATGAATCGTCTTCTGACAGTGAGCTGTGTCCTGTCTCTCCGGAGTCCTCTCAGGAGCTCAGCACAGCCACTGACACCTCCTCTCTCCCCGGCAACACCGCAGCCATCTGCTCCCTAACATCTCCCAGGGACACAGTAAGGAACATACCTGACGTGATAGGATACAATTAATAATCTCTGTTAGGGGAGTGGATCAATAAAGTGTAAGGAAGAAGAAAAACATTGGCAAGCAGATCACCTTACTAGATTCACAAACATGGCAGTATATGCGCTACAAATATACCTCTACCTATTTTTGTAAATCAGCTAAAGTTTATATAGGTAAAACTGTATGCAGTATTCTAACTTTTGAAGAGTCTACCTACTGAATTGTTGTTCTGCTCTTACCCCCAGATCAAACCATCAGGGAAGGAGAATAAAACAAAGGAGTTGGGCTCTCCCCCCCCTGTTCCTTCAGAGATGTCGTCCCCACCAGGCACTGCAGAGGGGGAGAAAATGAAGCTGGTTACCCAAGACACGCTGGACTCCCCCAGCCTCAGTCAGACCCCCTCTGTGTCCAGCGAGGACCCCCTCTCTCCTGTGTTGCATGGTAAATACTGAGAATACCTCTACGAGACTCTGATGGTGGTCATTAGTGCTTGGGACTATCCCTTGGCTGTCAGGATCAGAATTGTTGGTTATATTTGTGTGTTTCTTTCTACCATTCTCAGCTTCAGAGCCTGATTCAGGAACAGTCACTTCTCCAGCAGCTGAAGTTGTCAAGGGGACTGAGAGGCTCCCCCCAGTTCTCCTTCAGGAGCATGTGTTTTCAGAGTGCTCCAGAGAGAGGATCCTGGGACTACTATCAGCCATGCTGCCCCCTGCCATACCAGTACGTGAAACCTAAGACAGGTTTTTATGGTTTTATGAAACGCTTAAGAAATAGTGCTGAGAGTTGGCTGTCAGAATTAATACTTCCCTTATCTGTGTGTTAAATATGAAGCTACAGATAACAGCAAATGAGTATTAATGTAGTTACTAAAGTTAGGTTACAACATCTGCCTATCAGCGCCTCTAAAGCTCGCTAATTGACACGTTATCTTTCATTTTATTGCTCCATGCACATTTTTTTTTACAAGGAGTACGTGCTGAACTATAGTTCTTCTTGGGCAGGTGTTGTAAATTCTTTCAGCTTTGTCCTCACCTTGAAGTTTCCAGGCAACCATTGAGGCTCCAGGAGGTCACAGATTTAGCCCAGAAAGTCACACACTATAATCCACATTTTTTAGTAGTAGTAGTCAACACTTAGGTTATAAAATGTAATTATTTCAAACTCAGCATTCATTCTTTTCTAAATGTTCACTATTTGTCAGCATTGTCTTTATGTTTTCCATTAATCTATTTTTAACATTTACATCTTCTTTTTTCTTTCCCCAGGGCAGCACCCTGTCTCTGCCCAGTCTGAACTCCATCCTGCCCAAGCTCTTCAGGGCGGTCATTTCCAATGCTGGCTCTCTGAACGAGACGTACCACCTCACCCTGGGGCTGCTGGGTCAGCTGCTGCTCCGAATCCCTCCGATGGAGTCCGACTCTGCCGTTACTGAGGCTCTGGCTGACAAATATGACTTGTTAACACAAGCAGAGGCAACCAGTTCAGACATCCAGGGCTGGAAGACCACCCAGCTGCTGTTCAGCCTCGGAGCCGTCTGTTTAGACAGGTAAAAGAAGGAAAACCTGTTAATCCCACAGGAATGTTTTGTAGCTTATAAAATCGATTTCTTGGTGACAAACCCGCAGGTATTAAACTAACAACAAGTCTGCACTTGTTAGCACCTTCATGGATCAAGCAATGTGAGATATTTTGAATACCATAAAGCAAAGAACACGATTTTACATGATGTTATTATCCATGTTGGGTCCTAATATTTTAACATTGCCAATAAGTCAGACAAGAGTTAGAAATCTGATCTTTGTATAATCCTGGCAATAGTACAGAAGCCCGTAGAGTCAAGTGAGAGAAACAAATTATTGTGATCCATTGTTTAAGTCCAAGTCCAAACTATTGTCTCTACTTTGTTTAAGGACAGGTGAGAAACAAGGTTTTGCCAGGATAATCTTTTCTAGTTTTTCATTTTTTTGTTTATGTTAAAGGGGACTTATCATGCAAAATGCACTTTTGTACGTCTTTTATACATGAATATGTGTCCCCGGTGTTCTAGGGAACTCACCAAGTGTCAGAAAACACAACCCTCTCTATTTTCCTCCATACCCAAATCTCTAAAAAAGGGGCTGCAACGGATCTGATAAAAACTGATCCAGATTTGAACACTGTCCTGACGTCAGGACGGTGGCGCTACGGCTATTGGGCCAACTCCACCAATCAGGAGGAGACAGCCACGGCCATTGCCGTTTGAAAGCGCTGGAGACGCTGTAGTACATATGCCAGGCCTGTAGATGGTGCTGTTCTTACAGAATCAGCCCTTGCCAAAACAGAGCTAAAAATTGTCAAATTGAGCAAAATGAGGCATGGCTAAAATGCATGATCTGTTTGGTATTTTGGAAAAAAAAAAGTATAAATATGCCTTATATAGGTATGGTCCTACACTATATTATTCAAATATAGCATGATAGGTCCACTTTAAGGAAATAGGAATATACGCATTCATGTTTTCTTCCCGATAAGCTTTTTTTCTCCCTGCACTCTTAAAACAAGGTAATTAGTATGATATGTTACATTGCTGCCATGTCCAGAGACGATAAAAACATGCTTTAAGTCTATTTAGAACATCGAGTAATGGCGCTTTTCAGACTCTTGTGGCAGAAATGAGTATAACAACAACAGTTAGAAAAATCTTCCTAAATAAAAGGAAAATACAAATCCATAACTTTTTTTCCACCTGTTTAACTGATGAAATAAAAATCAAGGGACTTCATAGAAGACTTTTTTTCCACTGTTCTTAAATCATAAACACAGAAAAGAAAACAATTTAGTTCAGACTAAGAAAATGGACATGAGAATTGTGTTTCTTACTTGCCTCTCAGGACTTCCATCTTCACTAATCTTTGTAATAATAATAACCCTACTAAAATATTCAAGAAATCTGCAAAATCAGATGTAGAACTGAGAAACTGAAGGTTTACCAAAATCACACACTTTGAGATTTTATTTTCCAAAAAGTTAATAGATGTTTGTTCTGTGAAATATATGCCGCCCTCATCTGTTGCAGTTCATTTGAGATATTTCTCTTCTTATGCTCTGTTTTGCAGTCGTATTGGTCTGGATTGGGCGTGCACAGTGGCAGATATCTTACACAGTCTGAATGCGTGTCCTGAGTGGAGCACAGTCATCGCTGCCTTCACGGACCACTGTATTCAGCTGCTGCCACAAACTCTCAAACGCACCAACCTCTTCACCCTGCTGGTGCTGGTGGGCTTCCCTGAGGTGTGTACAATACTGACCACTGTAGCGATTAGTGTACAGTGTAGTCTCTGACTCTCTAAGCTCAGTTTTAACTCCTCTGTGTGTCTGCCAGGTGCTGTGTGTGGGCACCCAAACAGTGTTCATCGACAACGCCAATGAACAGCACAACATGATCCTGCTCAAACACTTCACAGAGAAGAACCATGCTGCAGTGGTGGATGTTAAGACACGAAAGAGGAAAACAGGTTGGTGCCGTTGTCGCGCACCCTGGTTACTTTGTGTAAGAATAAACATGGAATTTACCCTCTCTGTGTTTTCTTCTTTCTAGTGAAGGACTACCAACTGATCCAGTCTCTGGACTCCACTGCAGCCGGTCTCCCCGGGCAGTCAGAGGGCGACGGCAGCACTAAGACCCTCCTCAGCCGCTACCTGAGGAACTTCACCTCCATCATCAGCCACTTGCTGCAGAACAGCCAGGACAACGGCTCTCCTGATGCTGTGGAGGCATCCTGGGTTCTCTCCTTGGCCCTCAAAGGCCTCTACAACACACTGAAGGTACCTACCACCTCAGAATTTGAAAAGCAAAACAAAAATGTATGCGTATAACAAGTTTCTTAAAATAATGTTTACAAAGTGCTCTACATACAATAAAAGCCAAAACGAGCAACAATAAATGGTTATGTTAGATATATACTGTATATATGAGTAGATACAACTAAACACCAGCAAACAAAGAACGGATTCAAACTTTTTTTTTAAAGAGTGTGATTCACAGAAGAAACCTATTCAAACAGAACATATTTAGAAGGCTTTTTAAAAAGAGGAAACTGATATTGCATGCTCAATTACCTCAGACAATTTGTTCCAAATTAAAGGTGAAAGCACTGGTGCCTTTTAGTTTTGAGCCTGGCACGTGGAACCACGAAAAAAGTTGCGAACCAGCTCATAAACAACATTCTCTGACATTGCCTTAAATGGTTATAATGTGTATCGCTCCGACCGGCCTAATAAAGGTGGTGGCGTTGCCATTTATGTTAAGAATAAGTTCAGTGTAACCACATTAGTTTCCAAATCTATCAGTAAGCAATACAAATTTTTAGCCTTAAATATAGAAGTGGCAAAGGGTCAACAGGTCATGGTGGTGGGCTGTTATGGCGCATTTCCATTGCAGCGCGTAGCTCGCTTTAAGCGTGCCGTGTCGTGCCGTCCCCTTTTTTGGTTGTGCTTCCACTAGGCCTCGTTCCGGCGCGGCACGGCGCGGGGCCACTTTTTCCCCTCTTTTCTGGCCCTAGAAAATTGTGGTTCTATCGGGGCCAACAAACAGGGCTGAGTCGGGCTGAGTATGCTAAACTAGAGAGAGGAGCGCTGGCAAGAGGGCTAGAACTACAACAAGATGGACATATTTGACCGTGATTTAATTGTAATACACGTTTCAAAATGATGCCGAAGTAACAACATACTGATACCGGTTAGTAAAAACCATGAATTAATGCTTTGTCAAGTCTGCAGACAGACGGCAGGCGAAAAACCTTTTAAAATTCGTGTTTTTCTAGATGGAGATTGGCTAAGCTAACGCAGTATATGCCCCGACCGTCCACACTCACAACAACGGCCTATACAGACATAAATACAGCAGCGACTGTATTCACCATGACACAGGCAGTCTGTGGTGTGTACTTGTTTAACTTTTGTCTAGTTTCTGAACATATATAAGGAGCTGTGAGCTCTGAGTGCTCACAGCTAACGGCTGTGTTGTGTTTCTGGATTTCTCATTGAAGATGACGTCACGGCTCCGCCTACACTGCGTTACTATAGTAACTACCCCAGTTCCTAAACTGTAATGGAAGCGCAGCATGAAGTGAGTCGGCCCTGTTAAGGCCCAACGCGGCCAAGCCGTACCGAGCCGTACCGAGCGTGGCCGAGGCCGACCGTGTAGTGGAAATGCGCCATTACAGACCCCCCTCAGCTGGCAAGGACTCCTTGTCTTCGCTAGCAAATCTTTTATTGCAACTTGACTACAAGGAAATCGTGCTACTTGGAGATTTTAACTGGGACTGGTTAACTGCAGTATCAGAGGATTTTAAAAACCTTTGTATCTCTTTAAATGTTACTCAGATTGTAGACAGTCCTACTCGCCCTAACATTAAGTCCCCTAATAAATCCACCCTAATTGATCTCATTCTAACTAATGTTCCCTATAAATACTCATCTGTGGGAGTATTTGCGAATGATGTAAGTGACCACTGTGCTGTAGCCACAATTAGGGACACTAAGGTCCAAAAGGGTAAACCTCGTATTATTATTAAGAGAGACATAAAACATTTTGTGGAGCAGGGTTTTGTTCATGATCTGTTTGGGTTTGATTGGGGAAAAATCGATCTGTGTGCTGATGTAGAAACTGCATGGTCTTATTTTTATCTTGGTTTTATGGAGATCATAGATAGACATGCACCCCTGCGTAAATTTAGAGTGAAGGGACAATCCTTGGTTTTCTGCTGAACTGTCTAGTCTCCTGCATGAGAGAAACAAGGCCTGGGCAAAGGCTAGGAAATCAGGCTCAGAGGTAGAATGGCTGCGATTTAGGCAGCTAAGAAATAGCTTCACTTCACAGGTCAAAAGTGCTAAGTCGAAGTATTATCTATCAGTTACTACAGAAAACCTAAATAATCCTATGAAATTTTGGAAAGCCATAAAATCGATATCCACCGGTGAGATCCGTAATGAGCTACCTCCGTGCCTTACCACAGCATCTGGCACTATATCGTACAGGGCTACTATGTTAAATTGTTTTAATAAGCATTTTGTGTCCTGTGGCTCTCTGTTTGATTCTGTCACTAACTCTGCTTATGTGAACACCTCAATCCGTGACTCTGAACAATGTGGTCTGGAAAACCCTTTCAGTTTTACTCCTTTTACTGTTAATGTTGTTCATGAAGCCTTAACCAAGCTAGATCCTAAGAAACCGGCTGGCCCGGACAACGTAGAACCTTTCTTTTTAAAGATAGCTGCAGATTTTATTGCTCCACCTCTCACTACTCTTTTTAACCTCTCCCTCAGCACAAATGCAATTCCAAAAGTATGGAAGTCCGCTTATGTCCTGCCTTTACTAAAAGGAGGGGAAGCAACTATTTTAAATAACTATAGGCCAATCTCTAAATTGTCAGTTCTGGCTAAGGTTCTTGAAAGCCTAGTGAGTGAACAAGTAAAGGAGTTTCTATGTAAAAATGATATCCTGTCTAAACATCAGTCAGGCTTCAGAAAGCAACATGGCACCATTACTGCCACAATGAAAGTGGTGAATGACATTACGAATATTTTAGACAATAAGCAGAGTTGTGCAGCTCTATTTATTGACCTTTCCAAAGCATTTGATACCGTCGATCATCGCATCTTGAAGCAGAGGCTGGTCAGTATTTGCATATCCAGCCATGCAGTGGGGTGGTTTGTGAACTACCTCTCTGAAAGGTCCCAATGTGTTCATTTTGATGGGCTCACTTCTGAGTGGTTAAACATTGCTAATGGTGTTCCTCAAGGTTCTGTTTTAGGTCCACTTTTATTCTCCATATGTATATCAACAGTTTAGGTGAAAATGTGGATGAAGCTACTTTACATGTTTATGCGGATGATACCGTGATGTATTGTGCAGGTCCCTCGATTAAGGAGGCTGTTGTTAAATTACAGGCTGTTTTTAACATTATTCAGACGCAGCTCTCTGAGCTTAAGCTTCTTTTAAATGTTGAGAAAACCAAGGTAATGCTTTTTTCAAAAGCTAAAAAGACACCGGAGCCTGTTTTAGATATTGTTACTATGCAAGGACAAGTACTAGAAGTGGTTGCCTGTTATAAATACCTTGGTATCTGGCTTGATGATTGTCTCTCTTTTAAACTTCAGGTCAATAATCTGCTTAGAAAGCTGAGGGTTAAGCTATGGTTTCTTTTTCAGAAACAAGTCCTGTTTCTCACTTGAGGCCAGGAAAAGTCTCTGTGACCTTTTTACCTGTGCTGGACTATGGTGATCTGGTCTATATGAATGCACCTGCCCATTACCTGAACAAGTTAGATGCCGCCTATCACAGCGCACTGAGATTTGTCACTAATTGTAAAGCACTTACACATCACTGTACCCTGTATGCCAAGGCAGGTTTGCCTTCACTTACTGTACGGAGGCTCAGTCACTGGTACACGTTTATTTATAAAGCCATGTTGGGTAAACTCCCGTATTATATCTGCTCTCTGATAACACAGAGAGTTGCAAGTAGCTATTGTCTGAGATCGCATGATGTAGTATTGTTAGATGTGCCAAGAGCAAGGACTGTCTTAGGTAAGACAGCTTTTATGTGCGCAGCTCCACTTGCTTGGAACAGTCTTCAGCAAGAATTGAAACTGAGCAATCTCATTCCTCTGCATGTTTTTAAAGCTAGGCTAAATGAAATGCTCTTTGAAACTATGGGTACTTGTAAATGTATCCTGTAAATATAATGTATGATGTCCTTTATTGTTTTATGTTTCATGTGGAACCTATATGCTGCAGGTCTCCCTTGAAAAAGAGATCTATGATCTCAATGGGACCAATCTGGTTAAATAAAGGTTTGAAATTAAATGAAATGAAATAAAAAGTAAAAAGATCAGCAGATTAGTTTGGGCTTAAAAAACAGTAACATATTATAATCTATTCTGAATCTCGCTGGTAGTCAGTGCAGATATTCAAAGACTGGGGTAATATGGTCTCTTATTTTATTGCTGGCTGCAGCATTTTGAACAAACTGGAGACATATCATTGATTTCTGACCGAGACAAGTATAGACACAGTTGAAATAGTCTTGATGAGATTCATTCAAAAGCATAAAAGAGCTTATTTTAAATCCGTATGACATAAGATTGACTCAAATTCAGGACTGCACAACTCTCTTAAACTGTCTCAGGTCAGTGTTAAAAGTCTCCAGAACAACATCTGAGTGGTTGTGTAGGCTAGGAGCAACTGGCTTAGATCATGTTTTTTATTTCTTCTCTTGTGTAGAAACATGGAGTAGAGCACGCTCAGGAGGACATCCAGGAGTCAGGCCTGACGCAGCTGCTGGTGAGGAAGTGCAGCAAAGGGACCGGCTTCACCAAGCTGTGGTTGCTGCGAGACCTGGAGATCCTCTCCATCATGCTCTACTCCTCCAAGAGGGAGATCCACTCCATGGCCCAGGACCCAGAGCGGGACCAAAGAGAGCAGGACAAAGAGCACGACTCGGACCACTCCAGCTGCTGTGCCGACGAGACCGACGTCAGCAACAAGCCCGACCCCTTAGAGGGGCTCGATGAGGAGACAAAGATTTGCTTCCAGGTGATTAGGGATACTATAAGAGATTTCCATAAGTGCAAACTACTCATTCATTTCAGTCAGCTAGATTATTATTTAAATGTTTTATTTGTAGTTAAATCATTTTGACTGAAGTTACAATTTGCTATTCATGTACAGTTTAAGAACACTACTTCAAAACAATGCAATACAATAGAAACGTCCCTAATGGTCTCTTTCAGTCCCATTACATTACATGTTTTTGACGCATTTATCCGAAGGGACATTCCAACGGGAGCCATGTATCATACGCAAGGACACTTAAACATGTTGACTGCTGGGGCTGATTATAGAATCACTGCCCCTCCCATTAGAAAATTGCTATTTTTATCTGCACAGTGCAGTAAAAAGCAAAATGAAAAGCTAATTGACTTGTTTATTTATCTAGAAACCTTACAGTGATTTTCTTCTTTTCACACAGATCACACACGATGCCTTAAACGCCCCTCTCCCCATCCTGCGAGCCATGTATGAGCTGCAGATGAAGAGAACCGATTCCTTTTTCCTGGAGGTGCAGAAGAGGTCAGCCGACAAATTGTTTTTTTATTGACTTTTCTTTTAATATGATGTTGCGTGGTAAAGGTCATACTTCACAATCTGATACTACCTCTCTGTTATGTGCCTTTGTGTTATTATCAGATTTGACGGAGAAGAGATAAAAACAGATGAAACAATCCGGACGCTGGCTCAGAAGTGGCAGCCTGGCAGGCGGCCTCGCTCCGAGGAGAGGAACACCAAGGCTGTGGACACTGACATGATTGTGGTGTCATGCGTGGTGAGTTGTTGATGTGCCCTCAAAAAGCATAGTTTGTGACTTGCAAACAACATGAAACATGGGCTTTAAGGTACTTATCTGCTGTAAGTGTAATACCTACTGTACATTTCATAATGGTTGTTACTCTCCCAGTTTGGAGAAACAGACAGGGGTGATAGCACAGAAGCTACGCAATATACTAAAGAGGATGGGGGCAGCAGCATATCTAGCCACTTTAAAATTATAAATATCAGTTCAAGTGTACTCCAAATTATATCCGAATATTTTCATAGCAGTAACACATTATTTACCGCTGTTATCTATGCTCTCTTGAAAGCAACCAGACTCCATTTACAAAAACTGCAATTATACCTCTCAGAACAAGGGTGTTGCTGGTTTACCAATGCTTTCAGAGTTTCAAAGGGTTAGTTCTAAATCTCTACATTTATAAAATAACACACTAACTAATCAAGGTCAGCAGTAGACCAGCAACTCTTAATTTTACAAGGTAAATTACTCTTTTTGTAAATGGAGTCTGATGGATAGAGAGATCATAGATAACTGATCAGTTCTCCATCAGAACAGTATGTCTAATTATAGCATACATTTAACTGATATATATATATGTTTTTTGTGACACTTTGTTTAGGTGGCTATAATATTTTTTGTTGCTGCCCCCTGACAAGAGCTTTGCTTTTTTGCTGGTATTCCTGTTTGACGATTTGCTGACATCTACTATAGGAAATAAACTGACTATGGATAAGAACTCATACAACTCCAAAAAAATCGAAACTACAAACTCTTAAGCCTTACAAACTACAACGAGAAGAGAAGAGAAACTCTGAGGAAAGGTGTTTTTATTACATTTTCCATATGTCAATATTCTAATATGTCCCCATCATTGACTTCCCACCCACAGTCCAAACCCAGCCACTGTGAAAAGGCCACGGAGGAGATCAACGTTGTGGCCCAGAAGCTCATCACAAATTCTGAGAACGACCTGCAGCTCAGCTACGCCAAACAGCGGCGCACCAAAAGTTCAGCTCTCCTGCACAAGGAGCTGGACGTCCGCAGCAATCGAGCAGTTCGTCAATACCTGGTGAAGGTCAACCAGGCCATCGCCACGCTGTACGCCCGCCACGTGCTGGCCTCGCTGCTGGCCGACTGGCCCGCCGACGCAGCACTGAGCGAGGAGGCCCTGGAGCTGAACGGCGCCTCGCACATGGCCTACATCCTGGACATGTTGATGCAGCTGGAGGAGAGGCCGCTCTGGGAGAAGGTGGGACATAAAAGAGAAACATTAGGAGATTATGTTGTGTTTTTAACATTTGATTTGTTGTAGGTGCTCTGTGGATTAATGTGAGTGTGATTATCCATTCATAATCAGATTCTCCAGAGGGTGCTGAAGGGTTGCAGCCAGAGTATGCTGTGCAGTCTGTCCCTCACTGCCTGCCAGTTCATGGAGGAGCCAGGCATGGCTGTGCAGATCAGAGAGTCCAAACACCCATACGACAACAACACCAACTTTGAGGTGGGTAACATTCCTTTTTGTTACAATTTAGAGTCAGGATCAAAAATTCTGTAATTTATCCCACAGCAGGGAAATGTACAATATTACGGCAAAGGAAGGAGACGGAGTAACATATTAAATATAGAAGCAAGCATATTACCAGAAGAAATACAAATAAATGCACACTCATGGTAACAGAAACAAGTAGCAGCATTATAAAAAGTGAACATATAAAAGTAATGAGGCAGCAGTAAGTGGCAAACAATTTTGTATAAAAAGGGTATATTGCACACATCACAGTCACCTCTCAACAGTGGTGTTACAGTCTGAGTAGTAGCAGCCAGAAAAACATGAGTAAATGTACATGACAAATTGCACATTGTAGTTTTATTTCATAACAGTGATGTTATAGTCCCCATCTGTGGGTATTGGTGGTCTACAAGGGAGGTGCATCATCAATTACAGCCATAACTGTTTTAAAAAAGCTTTAATATTTCCTAATTTCCAACTTTGAGCTGGTCACAACATGTATAATGGCTTGACTAAAGAAGAACTTGCAAAATAATCGATGTATTAGTACAGGTCTTTATTTGAAACAGGGCATGTCTTTCTTTTAATTCAGTTTCTTGTCTCTCTTTAGGACAAGGTGCACATCCCAGGAGCCATCTACCTGTCAGTGAAGTTTGACTCCCGCTGCTACACAGAGGAAGGCTGTGATGAGCTCCTCATGTCCAGCAGCAGTGATTTCCTCCAGGACGTCCACAACTTCAGTGGCTCCCCTCAGAAATGGTCGGACTTTGAGATTCCTGGTGAGAAATATTTAAATGTTCCTTTTCTGCTTTATGGGTTCCCATTTTTAGATATGTTGACTATTGTGTTTAAACCCCGTTTGTGTGTTTTTCTTCTCAGGTGATACCCTGTACTACAGGTTTATGTCAGACATGAGCAACACAGAGTGGGGCTACAAGTTCACCGTTACAGGAGGGCACAGAGGACGTTTCCAGACAGGTGCTTCACATTAAAACAGATACACACTCCTTTTACATTTTTGCAAACCTGCTTTCATTTGTTGACTCCTCAAAGTACCCAAATAAATCCTCAGGTCATTAACCTCTCTGCCCTTTCGCTTGTGGTCTAATCAGGTTTTGAGATACTGAAGCAGATGTTAGCAGATGACCAAGTGCTCCTTCACCTGCCACTGTCTGACATCTGGGAGTGGCAGGTGGGCGTGGCCTGCCGTCAGACTGGGAACCAGCGACTCAAAGCCATTCACCTGTTGCTCCGCCTCCTGCAGTGTCAGTCACAGACGTAAGAAAAACATCCATGCATTCATCCCTTTTCTCCAATTCTTGCTTCTAATGCTTCTAATGCTTCTGCTAAAAACTGTAGGCTTATATTGTCATGTCTGGAACCCAAAAGTAATATGCACCATCATTCTCACTTGGGCACCTGCTCGTAAGTAATGCTTTCTTGGCTAAGAGGACCCAGTGCACATATTTCCCTCTCCAGAGGGATGGCATAAAGCCTTGTTAATTCCTCATGTCGTGGTAATCGCCATGGAAATTAGATAAAGGATGTGTGCAGGAATTTGCACATGTGTTTACAGACTCGGCTACCAGAAGCTAATTCAGAAGGGAGTTAGTTTAAGCTGCAGCTGAATTATGCTACCTGGAAAAGTTTGTGTGCACACAAGCTTGTGCGTGTTGGCTTGATTTAGTTTCATACCAATAGTGCTCAAACAGTGAGGCCAAAGTGAATGGGGCTCTTGCAAAGTCACGTTGCAACTCTATACTGTATGCAAATTGTACTTCTGCACTGTGGAAACTTGAAGCCCTTATGGCACATATACTGATAATGGACTTTCAGTAAAGTAGTGTGCTTCTTGTATCCAGCAGATACGGTTCTAAAAATATTAATATTTGCGTTATTAGAGATTCTGGATTTTAGAAAGGGGAAAAAAAAGAAGAAAAAAACATATCGCAAACTATTTGCAGCAATGAAATAGCAATAGAGTACATAGTGCCTCTCTAAGCGCTATTCATGTCTGTAAATTAAATTGTTTATGATACTTGATCATACAGATAGATACAGAATGACTTTTTTATTATAATAAATAACAAATACTTTTTTTCCTCTTTTGGGGCAATCTAGAAATATACAATCAATTTGAGCAGTACACATTTTTTATGGCTGTTGGAAGTTACAAGATCCAAAGTCATTATAATTGTATTTGTTGTTGTTGTTGTTTTTCCTGCCACAGCTTTACCTTTCCCAGAGTGCTCCTCTTTATGGTATGTGTACATGTGTTCTGTTTGCTCTGCAGGGCCGGTGAGCTGACGCTGCTGCGCCCTCTGTGGCAGCTGTTCATGTCCATGGAGAACACTCTGAGCCAGGACCCCACCAGCATCACCGTGCTGCTGCCTCTTCACCGAGCCCTCACTGAACTCTTCTTCGTCGCAGAGGCCAGAGCCATTGTGAGTCTCACACACACACACACGCGCACACACACACACACACAATGTCTTACAATATTACCTTGCAAGGCAAATAAATACAATAATAAAAGATACTGTGTAAAGTATGATATGAATATTATTGCATATTATATAAAATGTTTTTTATTTAATAGAAGGCAGCAAAATACAGAGAAATCTTCAGCATTGATATACACACCTTTTCACATATCCAACCCTTTCTATGACTTTCAAAGTGCCATTTTCTACCAAATCCTGCTAAAGAAAAGTGAGAAGAAACTACATGTGTACTCTCAGATTAGACATTCCCCTATACAATTAAGGCCAAAATAATATCCAAGGTTATGTGTGAGTGACAAAATGTCTTTATCCCGCTTTGCTACAATCATGCTAATATACAAATTAGGGCTGCACCATGTTTCAACCCAATTTAACCCCTGGGTATTGCTTTATAGTTGGAGGTGTGGCTAAACAACATGTGAGTTATTTATTTAGGTGTTTTTGCTGGGATGACAGCATTATTGACTTTGTGGTGGAGAGAAACTGAACAAGGCTATGGTAAAGAAACTACTATTATAGGCCTAAGAGGAACCTTCAGTGTTTTACTCTTGCAGTTTGAGGCAATTTAAATGAAATGATCAGAGGAAAAATATTTTCTTCTCTACCGCTGTCTTTCTTCCACCCTCTCTGTCTATATCCGAGCATGTTTCTCCTCCACCCACCTGTTCTGCTCTGGGCTCGGGGCCAAAGCCCAGCCCTGCCATCTGCCAGACGGAACAGTGCCACAGAGATGCCATCTATTTTGTGATGCGTACTGGCTCTCTCACTCTCGTTCTCAATTGTCTTGAATTATTGATTGAGAGATTCCTCGAGGATTATGAACCCGCCGTCAGACAGGAGTTTCCCATCTGTGGCTGCAATCGACGCAGCGTCCCAGAACTGCACTACCTTTCCCTGTTCCCTTCTGCTCTGCTCACTGAGTCCTCGGGGTGCTCATCTGACAATAACATTACATCAGTTGACTTGTCTTCCAGGATGCTGGCTCCCATCTGCAGCAGCTGAATGTTGTTTCATGTGAGGGAGATGTGTTTCTTAGGACAAACACCAGGGGGCAGTAGCAGCACTCAGCAGCTTTGCCTGGGGTGCCCTTCATGGTCAGTGTTGTGTTAGCAATGACACATGTTGGTGTGAGGCGAGTCTCCATCCAGCAGAGCCTGACCTGTCCTCTGTTAAAGCAACAGATGTGCGTGCTGCAGCAGTTAGTCACCCCTATCACATGGAGACACCTGGACAGAATAACAACTGCACAATTTGGAGAAAAAAATCATAGTTTTCTTTGCAACAGTCTAATTAAAATATATATAAGATGAGTGGTGTGATTATTAGGATCTGTACAAAACTAAGATTTGTATATGAAGTTTGTTATATATGGTTTGTAAGCCAGAAGTATTCTGCAGCACCATCATACTTCATTCAGAATAATACTTTCAAATATTTGGCCTTTACCAAATATTGCACTGGTCTATATTGCAATTTTGATAACATTTCGATTTATTGTGGTAAAGAGTGTCTTGCACAGCTGTTGTTTTAAACAAATGCATTGACCCATTTACTTTTCCAATCTAAGTTTTGCCAGCTTTCTCCTGATAAACAATCAGTTAATCTTATTACATTATTAGTCATTCAACATAATTACATATTTGGTTGTTTAAATGTAATTTACATAAGGCTCACCGCCAATAAATAGGAATATTTGGTAAGAATAATAAAACATGTTTTAAATATTTTTGTTGTTTTCAATACATTTTGACTTTTGGACTTTTCAACTCTATGGAGTTAATATTAATGTTCAGATCACACAACTCAGGAATTAACCCTTACCCTACCCTTCCACCATTGAAATATCATTCTTCAAATAGTATAACACTTACATAAGTGAGGCCTACTATTATCTGCAACTGTGCAAAAACACCAGGTCTAAACTGAATATTGATAAAAATGCATTAACAAAAGCTGTGCACAATTCCGATTTTTTAATGTCACCCTCATGAACGTATCAACCTGGTCGTTATCGCCTTACAGGAAGTATCAAAACAAATGGCTGTTAGATAAAGTTAATGCCAGGGATTGGGATATTCACACAGTCCACAACTGGATCCACTGTTCCAGGACTTCTCAACATCTGCATTTGTTCACAGATAATTTTATAACAAGACGGGACTCTTGGAATCTAGTTTGGGAAAAGTCTCCTTTCAAAATCCATCCATCCATATTGTAAAACCATCACCAGCTGGGTCTGTGCTCTACCTACGACACAGCGCTCCATCTGTCACCATCCGATGATCAGTGTTCATTGCAAATGGTGGCCCTCTATGAACTTAACTGCGGTGATGACATGTAGCCGAGTTCAAAGGCTCTGTAATGACTGTACTGTAGAATCATGGGAAGCTAATGAGTGCACTGGATCCTCTATGTCCATATTAGGTCTGAGCCTGGAACTGGATTATTTTTAAAGTTGTAACGGCCGGCGCTGTCCACATTCCGGCTTCTCATTCTTTATACGCACACAAAGTTCACAGCCAGGTCCGCTGAGATTCATTGAACCCTCTCTACCCCAGGAAGTGAAAGTTATATTTAGGAATCAAAACTTTATGTCACGCACTCCTGACTATACAAATGGTCCTAGGATGTTCCCCTCGGCATAAACAGTCGGGGTGCTGTGAGATGGATGGTGTGACCAGGGCTCTGGACTTTGTCTCCAGCTCTGTAAAAGCTCCATTTGGCCAGTCTCAGCCCATTTAGCCGCCATGTAGTCTTATCAACTCCTCATGCTTATGTAACCAGAGGTATGTCTCTCCCCGTAGGGCTTTAGTGGAAGCGCTCTTCAGTTTGTTTATAATTTTGATTTACTGTTTCAACATACCACAGCTAAATGTGATGCTGAGATAGAGATGAAGAGTGGTCAGGGAACCAGGCCTCATTTATAACCTAATTCATCCCTTATGTAACCTCTTAAAGCAGTCTGTCTCAGGAAGTCGCTGTAATTCATGACATTATCCGGCCTGTGTGTTTCTTCTTCTGTGATCTACATTTTTTAAAACGTGCTGTTTGTTTTTCAGGCGCAGGGGATCCTCCAGGAGTATTTGTTGGCCATGACCACTGACGAGCAGCTCCTCAATCACACTGCAATGGTAAGTCTTCAAATATATATATTTTTACAATAAGACAATATAAACCTTTATGAATCCCCATAGGGAGAATCATGTGTCATAGCAGCAATACGAGACAAAGGCAACACAGGCTTTGGCATGTAAACGTAAACATAATGGGTATAATAAGAATAGGAAATATAATATATGTAACAGTTTAAATAAAAATAACGTGAATAATTATAAATACGGTGAATATTTACAACATCTATGTGCAAGTGCGAGTCCAAAGTACAGCTAACTTACAGTTAGAAGTTAACATAGAAGTTAATAGTTTTAGGTAGATATTAGTAGTAGGTACATACGGTGCAGGGTTTGCATCATAACCACTGTGCCATTTTTACAACCTCGGCCTTTTTTAATTCAAAGCCATGCCTTCAGCCAGGCTCTCTTGGGTCGTCTTTGATGATTTCAATTTCAATTGCTGCCTGACTTGGATGATAGTACCTCAAAGAAGTTGCCCACTCTCCCTGAAGTGTTGTAATAATATGCAAATGTCAGTCCAAAACACACAGTCCCGTTAGTCGAACAGTCTTCCGTGGCTGTGAGTCAGCTCGTGGCTGGAGTCTCTTTTTCTAGTGAATCACCAGGCTGTTGACACCCGGCAGATCCCTCCGCACCTCCCCCCCCCCCCACCCCCCCCCCCCCCCCCCCCCCCCCCCCCCCCTCGTTTTAAATATGTGTGGGCACTCAGCACTAATGTGTTTTGTAATGACAGTGCATTAGAATGTGTGGCACAGCGCTCTCTGTGCTGGGGACTCTGCGAAACAGCAGAGGAGCCTGGAGGCAGTTAAGAGGAGAGGAGGATGCGGGGTGGTGAAAAAACACTGTGGGTGGTTCTGTTGAGCAGTTACCTAATACCTTTCAGGTTGAAAACAAAAAACTACAGTACATGCCTTGGCAGTAGGCATAACTATTATGATAACAAGTCCTAAAGTAAATTGGCTGAAGTTCGATTTCGAAAGGTTGGAAAAATGCCATCCACATCATAACAAGCTCACTCACTTTCTCTTCAAGTTGTTTTACCACAACACAGGATGGATAGAGGATCCTGGATCATGTTCATTTCACTACTCGTGACATGGCTTCTATTTACTTTTCACTCTAAAACTGATAACAGGGTAGGCTCCTGTGTGTCGGGGCATTACCTAGGGAACGGTATTTTTCAAGAAAAGACCTTCAAAAGTGTCAAAAGTGAAAATGCAGAGGGGAGCACTATCATTTTCTCTCAGAACAAAAAATAAACACATTTGGTGTATTCTGCAAGAAACTGAGTGAAAAACAAATTATATTAAAGGGGCCCTGTTATGCTTTTTGGGGTTTTGCCTTTCCTGTAGTCTTTTATATACGTTTTTGTTCATGCAAATTATCTGTAAAGATTGAAATCCCAAAGTGTCTGTCCCTCACACTGCCCCCCCCCCTGGCTGAAACTCCTCCATTGGACTCCTTTGTTTTCTGTAACATGATGACATCACAATGTAACACCTGTGCTTCTGTTCGCTAGTGCTCCGACTTATTGTAAGTGATAGGCTAAGGGGTGGGACATCTCTAAGCGGTTGATCAATCACAACACAGCCGGCCAGCTAACCAATCAGAGCAGACTGGGCTCTGGTTTCAGACAGAGGGTGAAAAGAGGTGCTGCAGCACAGGCAGTATGAGAAGAATAAAGACCTTTTTGAACATTAAAGCATGGAAACATGTCTCAGTAGAGGAACATAGTATTTATTTATTTTTCCCTTTTTTTTCCCATACTGATATTCTGAACAAACTGTGCTGTTGTATTGGCTGTAAAATGTCTTTACTGTAGGGTATTTTTTTATTATTTGTACAGCACTTTGGCCAGACCAAAAATTGTTTATAAATGTGCTATATAAATAAAACTTGATTTGATAACAAATGTACCTGAATATGAGCAGAATATGTCCTCTTTAAGTGAGACTGGGAAACAGCGGCTGTAACCTAGTACTTAAAGTTAGCAGGTATGTCATGTAAGCCTTATGATGAAGGTGATATAAGGTGAAAAGCTAAACTCTGGATCAAATGAATCATCAAATGGTCATATTGTGAAGTTAAAAAAAAAAAAATCCCACAACTCTACTTTTTGGTTCAACCTCATTTCCTGCCACAGCAGGCAGCAACATACTCTAATAAAACTGCTTTAACCCACCTGCCTACCACCACCGTGCTGCTGTTTGCATTCATGTTGTTAGACAAAAACATGAATTGTCACCAATACCCAATCTAGCTATTCCAGTCTATCGGTAGCAGATCGGTGCCCTCTAGTTCCCACTGCTTGGTTTTTCTGTTATCATTCACACCCCTTTTTTTTCATCACGTAGGCTCTGAAGAACATCGCTGCCATCAGCCTGGCTATCAGTTACCCCAACAAATCTACCAAGCTGCTCAACGTGTCCCCCTGAGAGCTCCACCGAGAGGATGGAGGAGAACGACCTGAAGGGGACACATCCTGACACAGCAGGTCCACTTTGAACATTGGCGGAGGGGTGAGGGAGGAGACCCTCCCCGACCATCCAGTGCTTTCCTTGTAAAGGACGACCCTCCAATCCGGTAACTCTCTGCAGCACTCTGGACAGGAGCTGTGGAGGGGTTCTCAAAGAGCACTTTCCACATTTACTCACAATCCTTTTTGCCTTAGGTGAATCCAGTATCAGCATGTGCATTCACTGAAACATGAACAATTGCGGGGTCTTTTTTTTTTTAGTTATACTTGAAGAAGCCGTGCTAAAGGACATGAAGTGTGCCAAATTCGAGACCTTCAAGGGGAGGTTTATTAGTTTTTCTCCTGCCTTGGCTCCTCCTTAAACAGCTGGGTTTCATAGTTGATCATGGTGAAAACAGGTCACCATGGCGACTCTCATGTCTCAGTGGACATGAAGAGCATCCTAAAAATACTGTCCAGGCCAGTGGAGTGTCATTAGTCACCATGGGGAGAAAGTGCTGACCTACTAGCTCCTTCCTCTCTATCCTTTTTTCTTTTCTTTTATCTATCCTTCCTCTCTACCCACCTTCTCTCCTTCAACGTCCCTTCTTTCCATTTTTTTTTCAAAACAGAAGTAAATTAGGTTTTTTTTTTAAGGGAATGATCAGAAATTTGTCACAGATATTGGAAAAATAGGTCTGATATGTGCATTAAGATCGGCCGACCAGGATTAGGATGAGATTCAAATAGCCATAATGTTTGCATAGGATGAGAATTGACATTAAAGCTGAGGGAAAACTGTGATAAAATAATATTGCAATGCATTCCTTCATGTAATTGAATCAAGAGGTTGCTGTATTTTCACTAGTGAGTGAATTAAATACCATTATGATGTCAAATGATGTTCACGAAAATGAACAGCAGCAAAAATAATGTAATTTAGAAACCGGCAACTCTTTAAGGCCTTTAGTTTAACCCCTGATTTATTTATTCATTGTCATTATTTTATCTAACATAAAAAAAGGGTTTTCACACCAGTTATAGGAATAATATCACGCTGTAGTGTCACACCATCTTGCCCCCATACCTTGTGTATCGTGATGAACACTGGTGTCATTCAGAAACATGTATAGCTGATTCCCACAGGTGGTTGACCCCTCACATCACTTCAAAAACTCTTGTTACGAATTGACAAAACTGTAAAATAAACACATTATCCCACTTATTCACAAGCAACTCATCTCATATTTTGTAAGCTGAAAATGGATTAATACTGAATTACCTCATCTTTTGTAATTACAGAGTTCCTAAATGTTTAATGTGGCTTTCAATCACATTACACTAACACCACCTTTTATTAAGATCCACCTGTAGCCACTTCCACCAAAATAAGTCATGTGCTTTCATGTTAAACAAAGGCATCAAGTTGTGTATGTTGACTAATCTGAACTTAAGTTTTAAAGAGAGTTGATGGGGGTGGATTTCCAATCATTACTGTACTCATTTCAAATGAAGAAATCATTTTAGTTGTAGGGAAGCCATGGTGGTTTATACCAAAGAAACCAATCATTGTGAGCCGTGAAACATCCCGGAAAGAGCTCCATGTAGAGTTCCTTCCTTTTGTCACATATCAGAGGAAACCTTTAAAGTTAGTTTTTTTATTTTATACTTTTATTTTTGAAATGGTCCCTTGGAGGACCGTAGAATAGCTCGGTGGTTTTGTTTACACAAACATCAGCTGCAGTGAGGAGGGAGGAGGAGATACTCTGTTGGGCTTTTACGACGCCTCACCTATCTACTACGTGCCTATGGTTAAAAATGAAGCAATCATAATTTAACTCATGTTAGCCGAATAGTTATTAATTCTATTTTAAAAGAGAGATATATTGTTTGATTTGAAGTTTTGTGTAACTTTTTACTTTTAATGTTTCTTTTGTTCCGCGAGGATGCTTGATGTTCGAGGCTGACTAATTTGAATGTACATATCTGTGAATATTAATTGCACAGTATATAAAGACTTTGATATCAACCCCTTACAAACATAAACGTTATCGGGCACTAACAGACGGACACTTTGATTCTGATTTTGTATGCATGGCACATTGAAGGTAAAAACAACACCACGTTCTGCTTGGGTTGGACATGTGTTCCGTTTCTAATAAAAATAGAAATGACTTGAATACAACTTGTGATGTCATCTTTTCTGTGTGTAGGCTCAATAGAGAATTTCTGTGCACTGACAAAAACATTTATTGATCCCTCAGGCGGCATTGATCAGAGCCCACACACTCCCAGCAGATCCAACTCCAACGTCAATAGTTCTTGTTCACGCTGCTTCCAGCCTTTCCACCTCTCAGAAGTCAATCTTTTCCACTTTTATCTAACAGTCCCAATTCTGTGATTTCTCTCCAAGCTTTCTGTTTTACCTCACAGGCACCCCCCCGCCCCCCCCCCACACACACACACAGTGCCGATGATCACTGGGGCGATAATGACATCAAATGGAGGAAATACTCAATAACACTCCTGATGATTCAGTGCCCCTCTGCGCCATCAGAGCCCCCACACCGGGGTGAGTCAGCTCTCCTGCCTGGCCTACTCCTCCTCCTCCTCCTGCTGCTGCCCCCCTCTCCCAGGATCCTCTGCTCTCATTTACCCAAGGTGAAAAAAGCAGCCGTGAAGGTGGAGAGCAAATAAGAAAATGCTAGCAGTACCTGTAATGTCACATATGAGATGTCATGGTAAGGGTGGGTGATATCAGACATTTGGAGAGCTCAGCAGAGGCAGTAAAGACCATCTCCCATGATCCCACAGTTCTTCATGACGCGCCCAAACTCACACCCATTGCATTGACTCACCCAAAAATGCATAATATACTATGAACTAATTATAAAGTAATGAAGGAGAGTATAACATCTAAGCACGTCATAATAAATTGCTATTTATTTGTTCTAATTTTCATAATTACAGATATATTGTGTTTCACATTTTAATGAAAAATACACCTTTTCAAAAGTCTACTGAACTTCACTGAGGTTACCTGATCCAAATTTGGTTTAAACCAAAAAGGCCGGATGTGTTTTACAGTGAGTATTGACAATCTATTCTTATTAAACAAAACTATGTAATAAGATTATATAAATACTGGTAATTCCAGCCTGTTAAACGTCTTTATTCAGTGTTTTCACCTGTTTTAATCCTTTGTCCGTTTGTTTGAAGAGGAGGAGACTTCTGTGGAGAAGACGGCTCAGCAACAGTGGTAAAGACAACATTTCCCATGATCCCACATTACCTTGACCCCACCAAACTCACACAGGGCAAACAATGATGAGAGGTAACTAAACAGTAAGTAAACCCAGGGCAACACTCAAACACCTGTATGAAATAGCAATGTTTGTACACTGTACTGTTAATGTCACTGTTTTATAACTCGGAACATATGAGCAGGAAGTGCCATGTGTTGCTGGTCTTCCAAAAGCTATGCTAGTTTTTGCTAATTTGACTGAAGGACACGTTCCAGTTCTCCAAATCTGCCTCCTCTTCTTTCTCCTGTTGTGGATCTTCCCTCTCTTCACCAGACATGCTCATTGTCCTCTGCATCACTGTTGGGGCAAACAATCGAATCCCTCATCATGTGTTTGGCTTGCAAATTGTGTCCTTCCCTTCCCGATGCTGCTGCCAGTGCAAAACCTCTTTCACAATGCTCGAGGTCCCTTGGGGTTTACTATGTCTTCGAATTGTTTTAATGTTTAAAGATACTTTTGTGTGAGTATCAACATTTGTGTTTAAAAAATGCAACAATTTAAACAGTTTAGGCACGTAGTATAGTAAACAGTGACTATGAAAAGTATTCATTCCACTCTTGGAGTCTTAAATTGATCCAAATGTAGATTATTCATGCCTTATTTTTCTCTCTTTTTCAAGAACATCCTAATATATAATGATTCAAATTCAGTTAGTCATTGCACAAAGATGTTTTCCTCAAAAGAATAAAAAAAAGCACAAAAAAAAAACAGCTTTTGGTAAATCATCGATAAGAGATAGGAACAGAATCCAACTCTCTCTTGCTTTGTCATTTCAGCGTGTTATTTGGATTTTCACTTTCTCGTGTTCTAGCTTTGTGTCACGCGTCTCCTCTGGTCATTTTTTCGTCCCTTTTCTTGTCGTGCACCTTTGCCCCATCTGAGGCCGTAACCCTGCTCATGAAACTGCTGGAGAAAACCTCCACCTTGTCATAATGAGTCCTACTTCCTCTCACCCTCCTGGGACAAGGGGCCCAGTGTGGGTCAGCTCTCGTGGGGCCTGGGGATAATTGGGTAGTTTAAATAATCCAGTGAGAATAAGACACAGGCCTACACCCATATATAGCAGCTCCACACATGCTGTTGTGTGATTGCACTGGGAGAGAGAAGCTTGCAAAATTTTTATCTAATTTCTCGCCTGTCTCCTATCTGGGTTAGAGGCGGGCTGTTATTGGAACGGCCACCTGTGGCACCGGGAGAAGGTGGACTATAATGGATAGCAAGGGTTCCAACATGACAGCTGCGGTGCTAAACCTGTTAACTAATCTGGATCATTAGAACCGGGGCTGTATGACTAAAAGGAGAGAGTGGCTGTAATGTGCAGAGATGACAGGAGATGGACTTCACTGACGTGCCCCGAGCCAGCATCAAATGGAAGCTGACCCGGGCGGAAAACTGGTCACTAAACAGGCAAATTAGCTTGAGGACAGACTGAGAGACTCTGGGCCAGGGCCAGAGACGGAACAGTTGAGATTGACTTCCACTTTGGCTTTAGTTGCTTCAACTTTTTTTCATAAGCTGCATAAAATAAGTTGTCGTAGTTACTTCCAAATCGTTTACTTCTAAACGTTTTGAAGCCTCAAGTTTGGGATTTTGTCCGTTGTGTTTGGACTATCTGGAGCTAAGTCATCAGTTGGAGCTAGCTTGTTAGCAAGGTGCAAACATGAACAATAGACTCTTTGGAATGTCTTTAAGCACAAATGTTACTATAAACTTTCATTAACTGAAAATAAGTGGTTTCTAAGAAGAAAAACACCATAGCTGAAATCACCGTGGTAGCAACTTGTATTTTGATTTAAATGACCAAATGATCATCAGGCTGTTAAAATACTTGAAACTAGCTATTGAGACCACAAACTCATTCAAATGTTTACTAATCTAAAAAACCAAGGGAAAACTACAGGTCATTTTCTCATAGACTTCTATACAAACAGAATGATGTTTTGTCCCCATGAAATCAGCCCCAGCTTGAGGTTTCACTTGATCTTTACCCAGTGATCCTTGTAGGCTAGCTGGCAGGCCCCACAGTGCATTCAGAAACCCTTGCATGATGGAAGGGTACCATTTTGGAATTTACAATTTTTTTAATGGAATTTACCATTTTTGGCAAATATAAAGATTAGATTTGGGGGAAAAGCTTACCATCTGCTGGTGGCCCAGACAGTAAACATTGTCCTATTTCCCCAAATGGTTGAACTCTTACTTTAATCAAGTGAGGAATGTGTGTTTCTTTTTATTATTCAAATTTGAACAGCCAAACCAAATTTTATTTAGACTCCTACAGTGTGTTAATTCTTTCTCCGGCTACAGCATAAACAAGACTCTAGAAGAAGTCAGTTACTCTTAAACCTCAAGTGGGCCGTCGCTGGCTTCGCCTTTTGTTTTCCAAACAAATGTCAGTCAGTATCGAGTTTGTGTATTATGCTTCCTCCTCTCTTGTGGAAAACATCTCAAGGCTTTTAACAAGCGCAGGAAAGATCAAGTAAGAAGTACCCTGGGGGTGCAGTGCCATCAGCTGTCTGTTCACTGCTCTGTGACACAGGAGCCTGCTTGTTATGATACCACTGCTTGTAGGAGGCTGTCAGGTGCTGAGATAGAGAATCATAAACCCTCCATTAGTCCCTTTGTGTCTCCTCCACAGTGCAGGGCCGGGTGCCCACGCCAGGTGAACCTGCAACCTGCACGCCTGGAGGACAGCAGTGCCTCTTCCTCATCTCTCACTCTTCTTCATCATGCTGCCTCCTCTCTGTCTTCCTCTCCTCTCTGACTGTTATCTGTTCTTACCAAATCTTGGGAAAATGGGAAAACAACTAATTGATCCTTCTCTGCTGGGGTCCCATTGCTAAACTAAGCTTCCACATGTGTCTCCAGTTATTCACAGACTAAATGATCTCATTAGGTACTTAACTAGTACTACAAATAGAATATGTAAAAGAAGGGGGATAGCATTTTTGTTTCATAACATCAACCTTTTCACAGTGTTTGTAGTTAATGAAAGTTATTGCAACATTTTAATCCACTAAACATGTTTAGTTACGCGTCTAGTGGTACCTTGCTTGACCCCAATGTGTCACTTCTATCCCTTTAAGTAAGCCACACATTATTACATTAACTATAAATAATAATGCTTTTACATATGACATTATGAATGTGTAATACCCTACTACGTTACATTTACTATTATATTATTAAAAGAGGGTTTTCATTGTAATAGTATAAGTATTTTTGACACATACTCAAGTAATACTACTTATAATGAATACTTCCACTGCGTATAAAGCAACTTTCACGGTGTATGAACACAGACGCTGGTCACAGGAGTGTTCTGTTAGAGATTTGCTTCCTGCAGGGATAAAGCCCAGGAGTTTGGCAGGAGAGTCCTTACCCCACAAATCCGCACACTGGGGCTTATTAGGATGATAGATAAGACAGAGGGACAGGCAGAGGGAGGGATGCTGGGTAATAAAAAACATGGAGGACATCGTGCAGCAGAGAATCCCAGCCTGTGCACTGAAGGTCCTAGCTGTTACACTATTGGAGTTTTAAACCCATTCACATAAAAAAACAGTAGTGATTGTGTAAAGCAAGGATCTGATTATTTTAATAGCGAATATTATCAGTGACCTCTCCTTGGTCTCCTAAGTCTTATTATTACACAAACAACACCTGACCAGGATAGATGACATTTTAAACCCCTGAAACGTGACGAAATTCTGCAGCATGCTGTAACTCACTTGTTCCACATCTTGCTCCGGATCCAGGTCACACTTTGATGCACAGCAATGTGCTGCAGTGGTCTGTTTGTAACTCTATCATTAACTTGTAGCCCTGCTGCATAATGTCTTATGTACTCGAAGTCATTCAGGCTGAATGTGGAC